GAATCCAACCCAGGGGCTCATGCATGTGAGGCAAGCGCTCTACCACTGAGCCACCTGCCTAGCCCTGACTTCCAGCTTTTTTATGGGTAATTGGAGATAAGAGTCTCACAGGTGGGGGGGGGGGGGTTCCACCCAGGCCCAGAGTTCAAACCCCCAGACCGACCAAAAAAAGAGTCACATACTTTCCCTGCCCAGGATAACTTTGAACTGCGATCCTCAGATCTCAGCCTCCTGAGCAGCTGGATGACAGGCATGAGCCCTGGAGGCTTGGTCTGGAGAACCAGTTCTCGTGCTAGCTGGTGGGCATGCAGCAGCCTCGGTGCCGTCCTGCCCCCATCCAGGTGGCTCTCAGGATGATGCTGGGCATGGTGTTTTTGTGGCCAGCCAGCAGGCAGCCCTGGGGGGCACAACAGAGCCTCTCACCACAGCCGGGCCTGCCTGCTCCCTCCCTCCCTTCCTCCCTCCCTCCCTCCCACTGTCCCTCTCTCCCCTCTGTGCCCTCCCTGCTCAGCTTTCCCTTGTGCTGTCTGCTCTGTGTACAGACTAGGGTGACTCCGGTCACTTCAGGGAACAGCCCGTAGCAAGGACAGCCTAGGTACCAGCACAGGAAGGGGCACGCATGGTGTCCCCCAAGCTGAGCAGAGGGGATTCTGCCCTGTCCATCTATGGCCTCACTGACCATCCCCAGCTCCCGGGAGCTGCAGCCCTGGGACTCGTGGGAGCGTGGAGCGAGGAGCAGCCTGGGAATGGCAGGAGTGGCCTTGCCCGCTGGGCTGGTCCAGCACAGCCTCCCGTGCTGCCAGGCCCTGCTCCCTGGGTGTCTTCTCCACACCACCCTTGGGCGGCCTGGGGTTCCCTGAGAAGCCACAGGGGGCTGCAAAGTCCTGGTGGCGAGGCACGCACCGCGGGCGGCCCCAGGGTGACGCGCCCTCAGCCAGCTGCCTCTGGCTTGTCACTGGGAACCCTGACCTGTCATCTCTGTTCAGTGGTGGGTGGTGAGGCAGCCGAGGCTGCTGCTTCCCCTCAGCATCTGTCCCCTCGGCAGGCCAGGGGGTGTCTGGACCGGGCACGTCCCTCGGGGCTGGGAGCGGGCAGGTAAGGGAAGGCCAGTGAGGTGTTACGAGGAGGCCTGGCCGGGCCGGCTGTGTAGCTCTGCAGGAGGAAGCCTGTTGTGCTGTGGCCCCCAGGCTCGGGTACCTGCTGGCAGTGGTCATCCATGTTGGGGGACTGGGGTTTGTGGAGCAGGGCCATGGGGGTGCTGTGGAGTGGTTACTTGAGTTGGCCCCGTGAGGTAGGTGGAGGGAGTGGTCACCCCAATGCACCTTCCCCCGCGTGCGCTACGCAGGGGGAGATGTCCTGGGGCCTCTGGGGCCCAAGCCTGGGCAGTGTGTCGGACCCCACGGGGGCCACCGTGGGCATGCTTGGCGCGGTACAGCCCCAGAGCTTCGCTCTGTTCTGTGCCTGCTGACCCTGAGAAGCATGCAAGCTCGTGGCAGGGTGGTCCCGTGGCCCTGGCTTCTGGTGTCCAAGTGGACACTGTCTTCAGTCTGCTGCTTGGGTGGGTGACCGCTCCCAGCTCTGGCTCTCAGCGGCCCCAGCCTCTGTCCACTCAGGTCCTGCCAAGAAGCTTCTGGCAGTCCCTGATGGGTCCCTCCCACCCCAGCCACCCTACTGCAAACAGGTGTTGCCAGGAGCCTGCTAGCCAGGCCGCTGGCTTCAGTGTGCATGTGTGTGGCTCTCTGCCTCCTAACGTGGCAGACAAACTTGAGGAAGCGCAGGCGCTCTCCTCCCCATGTCTGGCAGCCAGCTCGCGTAGCGGGGCCACGCTGCCTGGCAGAGGGGGCATGGGAGCCGGTGGGCAGCCTGGGCTCTTGGGCCGGCGGCTGTCTGTATCAGGCCATCTCTTCTGTCCCCACAGGTGTGTCTGGGTCGGAGTGTTTCTGACATAATCCCAGATGTCTGTCCACCTTGCCCTTGGCCCGTCCACCGTGTGACGGGACACGTCTGTGGGCATGCCCTGCTTGCACGTCCTCCGGCTGGGGGTCACGGGGGCCTGCCCTCACCCCATTGCCTGGGCATGGGCCTCTGTGGTGCCTGAGCTGGCGGCCTGCGGGCTTGCGGGGTCCCCTCCTGTACCCCTCACGCGAGGCGGGGGCTGCAGGCCCGGCCCGACGGGCGCCCGCGGGCTCTGCGCTCTGCGCATGCCCGGGCCTCCGCCCCGCTCCAGAGGTCCAGGCTCCGGTCCCCGGCGGCCTCACCGCGGCACCGCAGGCCCGCGGCCACCTGCTGCCCCTGCCACGGGCCAGTTCGCTTCTCCTTCCAGAGCGTTCTCTGTCCCTCGCCTCTTCATCCCCAGGTGCCCGTGGTGCCGAGGCCCGTCCCCCGCACCCCGTCTGGGGCGCCCGCGGCCCTGGCCTGCCCCGGGCTCTCCAGCTGACCTGCCGCGCGCTCTCCAGCTGACCTGCCGCGCGCTCTCCAGCTGACCTGCCGCACGCTCTCCAGCTGACCTGCCGCGGGCTCTCCAGCTGACCTGCCGCGCGCTCTCCAGCTGACCTGCCGCGCGCTCTCCAGCTAACCTGCCGCGCGCTCTCCAGCTGACCTGCCGCGCGCTCTCCAGCTGACCTGCCGCGGGCTCTCCAGCTGACCTGCCGTGGGCTCTCCAGCTGACCTGCCGCGGGCTCTCCAGCTGACCTGCCGCGCGCTCTCCAGCTGACCTGCCGCGGGCTCTCCAGCTGACCTGCCGCGGGCTCTCCAGCTGACCTGCCGCGGGCTCTCCGGCCTGAGGGCGCCATCCGAGTCGGGCATGCGCAGCGCTGCCCCCATGCCGGCGGGGCGCGCAGGCCGGAGAGCACGTTGTGGGCAGCGCGCGCAGGGATCACGCGCAGGGCAGGCCGGAGAGCACGTGGGCAGCGCGCGCAGGGGTCACGCGCAGGCCGGAGAGCACGTGGGCAGGGCCGCAGGGGTCGCGCACAGGCCGGAGAGCACGTGGGCAGGGCCGCAGGGGTCGCGCACAGGCCGGAGAGCACGTGGGCAGCGCGCGCAGGGGTCACGCGCAGGCCGGAGAGCACGTGGGCAGGGCCGCAGGGGTCACGCACAGGCCGGAGAGCACGTTGTGGGCAGCGCGCGCAGGGGTCACGCGCAGGCCGGAGAGCACGTGGGCAGGGCGCAGGGGTCACGCGCAGGCCGGAGAGCACGTGGGCAGCGCGCGCAGGGGTCACGCGCAGGCCGGAGAGCACGTGGGCAGGGCGCAGGGGTCACGCGCAGGCCGGAGAGCACGTGGGCAGCGCGCGCAGGGGTCGCGCACAGGCCAGAGAGCACGTGGGCAGCGCGCGCAGGGGTCACTCGCAGGGCAGGCCGGAGAGCACGTGGGCAGCGCGCGCAGGGGTCACGCACAGGGCAGGCCGGAGAGCACGTGGGCAGCGCGCGCAGGGGTCACTCGCAGGGCAGGCCGGAGAGCACGTGGGCAGCGCGCGCAGGGGTCACGCACAGGCCAGAGAGCACGTGGGCAGCGCGCGCAGGGGTCACGCGCAGGCTGGAGAGCACGTGGGCAGCGCGCGCAGGCCAGCGCCACGCCTCGTGGCCGGCCGGGCCCTGTGCGGGTCCCGGGCGCCGCGTGCCGGCCCTCGGACCCAGCGTCCTTTTGTGTACCGAGCCTGTTAACGGCCGGACGGTGTTGCTGCGTGCGCATGCGCCTTCGTGGTCCGCTGTCAGCGACCAGACCACGCGCGCGTGTACACAGGTGGCCGGCGCCTGTCCCGAGGTTCCACCCTGTGAGGCCGGAAGGCCGGTCCCTGGGGTCAGCTTCCTGCGGCCGGCCCTGGACGCGGCTGGGGCGCCATGCCGGCTTCCGGGGCGGGGCTCGGCTGGCAGGTGGCCGGCCGCGGTGGGGCTGCCCGTGCCCCCGGCCTCAAGCGCAGTCCCTGGCTCCGTCTCCGCCGCCCCGCGCGGCTTGCCTGGCTCTGGGAATTCTGCACCTCGCGCGGAGACCTGGTGCGCCGAGGGCCCGGCCGCCCTGGGGACCCGGTGCGCCCAGGGCCCGGCCGCCCTGGGGACCCGGTGTGCAGCTGCATGGAAAGCCCCCCGAGGGCTGTGCGTCCCAGCCGGGCCGGCGCCAGTGCCCCTGCTCCATTTTCATGCGCGACCACTGTGCCACGCCTCCAGCTCTGATCTTTTGCTGATTCACTGGAGGTAAAAATCCAGATTTGGAGCTGGGTAGGTGGCTCCGTGGTAGAGTGCTCACCTCACACGCATGAGGCCTGGGTTCGATTCCTCAGCATCATGTAAGCAGAAAAAGCCGGAAGTGGTGTTGTAGCTCAAGGGGTAGAGCGCTTGGCCTTGAACTGAAGAGCTGAGGGAAAGCGCCCAGGCCCAGAGTTCAAGACCCACAATCGACAGAAAAAAAATTGCAGATTTGTTTGTTCAGGCGGGCTTTGAACCACCATTTTCAGGTCTGATTTTTGCTTATCAATGTCTGCCTGTCTGCTGGGCATGTGTGCACCCCCATACCGCAGGGCTCAGACAGGTGCTGTCTGGAAGAGGCTGGTGTCCTGGTGATTGACCAGGCTGTGCCCTGGGGCGACCCGTGAGATACTGAGAAGTCGGCTTGAGGCCCATGTGGTAGTGGCGAGATATGGCCCCCCTTCCGAACATGCACGTTTCTCACTGCTGCAGGCCAGGGCTCTGGCCGCAGTGTGCGGAGCTCTGACCCCTGCTCTGCTCTCCCGAGGCCATTGCGCCTCTGCCCACTGTCTGCAGGGGTGGAGTGGGAAGGGCTGCCTGCGTTTCCGCCCACCTCTCTTCTCCACCTCCTGTAACACAGCTTCTGAGGGCATGGAGTGGGCTCCCAGCCCCCCAGAGTTTGGGCCTGCTCCCAGCCTGCCCCTGGGCTGCCTCAGTATTATTAACACCCCAACCATGTGTCCACCAAGTCACAGGCAGTGAATGGTTTGTCTTCTGAGGCAGGTCTTTCATAATGAAATTTTCCATCTTGTGTTTTGTAGGACTCCGTGTCACTGCAGCCATCTATCCGATTTGAAGGAAGCCAAGGGGTGAGTGTTTGGGCTCTGGGTTTCCCAGAGCTGGCCACACTGGGGAGAGCTGAGCTCCCACAGCCCCTCAGGGGCCCTCTTGCCATGCTGGTGCCCCCAGGCTCCCACACCCCCAAGTTTGGGTGGGTCGGGGTTATAGGGACTCTGGAATGGGCTTCTTTCTGAATGAACATCTTACAGAATTGCCAGGAGTGGACCATGCTGGCAGGGCTCATGGCTCATTCCCTACCTTTCTTGGTTATGTTGGGGTATGTGTGTTGGTCCTGTGGTTTGAACTCAGGACCTGGGTGTTGTTCCTGAGCCTCTCTGTGTTCAAAGCTACTGCTCTAACAACTTGAGCCACAGAACCACTTTTTTCAGTAGTTTGTTGGAGATAAAGAGTCTCACAGACTTCCCTGGCTTTGAACCATATCCTCAGATCTCAGCCTCTTGAGTAGCTAGGATTACAGGCATGAGCCACCAGCACCCAGCTTGGTTGGTTTTTTGTTGTTGTTTGGTTGGTCATGGGGCTTGAACCTGGGACTGGGTGCTGTCCCTCAGTTCTTCAGCTCAAGGCTAGCACTCTTACCACTTGAGCCACAGCGCCACCTCTGGTTGTCTAGTGGTTTATGGAAAATACGAGTCTTATGGACTTTCCTGCCTAGGGCTGGCTTTGAACCCTATCTTCGGATCTCAGCCTCTGAGTATCTAGGATTACAGGCGTGTTTACTTGAAGTTGTTGGTGAGCTGTCAGTCCCTGCCAACAGCCTAGTGAGGGCCACTCCAATCCCTGAGCCCGGGGAACTGCTGGCTGGGGTCTTCAGGAAGAGCATCCACACAGAAGAGGCTCCATGTAAGCCGGGCACCGGTGGCTCATGCCTGTCATTCTAGCTACTCAGGAGGCTGAGACTGAGGATTGCAGTTCAAAGCTAGCTCGGGCAGGAAAGTCCATGAGACTCTTACCTCCAATAGAACCACTAGAAAACCAGAAGTAGCACTGCGGCTCAAGTGGTAGAGCGCTCGCCTTGAGCTGAAGAGCTGAGGGACAGCGCTCAGGCCCAGAGTTCAAGCCCTATGGCTGACCAAAAAAAAAAAAAAGGCTCCATGTAGCATGTTTTTACCTCCTCTCTGGGGTCACCCAGCCCGCTGGGATCCTCAAGGAGTCCTCAGGAGCCTCAGACCAAGCAAGGTCATTTCTACCTGTGGCCTGCAGCCAGGTGGGGCGGGCTGCAGCCAGGTGGGGCGGGCTGCCTGCACGCTCGTGGCCACCAAGGAGGTCGTCCTGACGATCCCCCATCTCATCCTTAGGTGATGAGATTGCTCCTGTGTGTCAACCTGGCCCAGCCCCATAGCGCCCCCTGGTGGCCGGCAACCATGTTGCCTGGCTGTGCCACAGCCCTGACCCGGAGCATAGTGTTGAGCATTGTGTCCGTGCTGTGTCTTGATGTGGAGCCTGAGACCCGTGTCCCCACGGCTGCAATGTTGGCCCAGTTGCTGGTGACAGGCACTGAGGCTGGGAGCACTTGGCCGGGCCTCTCACCTCTCCTGAGCCCACTGGTGCCTAGAAAGCCGGGCAGGGTATGTGGCTGCTGCGCTAGCTCATTCTCTGGAAGCTGTGAGCCAGCCTAGTCTCTCAGGGAAGGGACCAGGAGGTCTGCGAAGTCACCGGGCCACCAGCACCCTGGGCTCAGTCACTCAGGGCCCACGCAGGTACGGTGGTTCTCAAGACCACTGGCCACCTCTCATGTAAGGTTGGCAGAGTAGAGGGCAGCCACACTGGGCAGGCCAGGCAGGCACAGGCCGAGGGCCTTCAACCACCGCAGGTGCCCACACCCAGGTTCCGGTTACCGCCCACAGCCAGCTACGCCCCACACCCCACAGGCAGGTGGGCCCTGGTGTGCACACAGCGTGTGGGGTCACACCACAGCTTCTGGCCCAAGTGTGGGCTCTGTCTCCGCAGCCGGCTGTGAGGCTCGGCTTCCTCACCTGCGTGCTCACAGCCCGGTGCTGGTTGCCACCCTCGGCAGCGCTGAGATCCAGCGGTGTGGACCACCGAGGGGGAGAATCAGCACACCCGGTGTTCCTGTGCTCATCGCCGAAGCACACCACCCCTGCCGCTGTGTCCCTTCCAGAGCATTCCACCCCTAGAGAGAAGCCCTGCCTGCAGCATCCACCCTGTGCCCACAGGCCCTCTCCTGCTGGGGACTGCGCTGTAGGCAGTGGTGGACACCATTGTCCACCATGGACACCATGGTGTCGGACATCACAGCACCTCTGCTCAGTTATCCGGTGCTTGCCAGTCCTCCACAGAGCGGCCACCCAGGCCTCTCTTCACCTCCTCAGCTCTGGTTTACACTTGCTAGGCAGGCACTGCCACTTGAGCCATACCCCTAGTCTTTTATGCTTGAGTTGTGGTGTTTTGGGGGTTTTTTTGTTGCTGGTCGTGGGGCTTGAACTCTAGGCCTGGGCGCTGTCCCTCGGCTCTTCAGCTCAAGGCTAGCGCTCTACCATTTGAGCCACAGCGCCACTTCTGGTTTTCTGGTAGATAATTGGAGATTAGAGTCTCCCGAACTTTCCTGCCTGGGCTGGCTTTGAAGCAAGATCCTCAGATCTCAGTCTCCTGAGTAGCTAGGATGACAGGCGTGAGCCACCAGTGCCCAACTCCTTTCTCTTTTTCATTTCTTTTTATTATTGTTTTGGGGGGGTCCAGTCATGGGGCCTGAACTCTGGGCCTGGACGCTGTCCCTCAGCTCTTCAGCTAGCACTCTACCACTTGAGCCACAGCTCCACTTCTGACTTTTGGTGCTGAAGAATCAAACCCAGGGCCTCATGCACGCAAGGCAAGGGCTGTACCTCTGAGCCAATTTCCCGGCCCCTTTCTCTTTTTAAGTGTTGGTCCCAGGGCTTAAGCTTCAAGCCTGGGCACTCACTATTCCTGAGTTGTTTTTTTTTTTTTTTTTTCCTTAAGGCTAGCATTCTATCACGAGTCACAGCTCCACTTCCAGCTTTTTTGTAGTTCATTGGAGATAAGAGTCTCATGAAGCTGGGCACTAGTGGCTCATACCTGTAATCCTAGCTACTCAGGAGGCTGAGATCTGAGGATTGCACTTCAAAGCCAGCCCGGGCAGGAGAGAGTGTGAGACTCTTGTCTCTAGTGAACCACCAAAAACCGTAAGTGGCGCTGTGGCTCAAGTGGTAGAGCGCTAGCCTTGAGCTGAAGAGCTGAGGGACAGCACCCAGGCCCAGAGTTCAAGCCCCATGACCAACCCCAAAAAGTAGGAGTCTTGGGGCTGGGAAAGTGGCTCAGTGGTAGAGTGCTTGCCTTGCATGCATGAGGCCTGGGTTCGATTCCTCAGCACCACATAAACACAAAAAGCTGGAAGTAGCTCTGTGGCTCAAGTGGCAGAGCACTAGCCTTGAGCTGAAGAGCCGAGGGACAGCGTCCAGGCTGAGTTCCAACCCCACAATTTGCAAAAAGACAACAAAAAAAGCAAAAAAAAAAAAAAAAAAAAAAAGTAGGAGTCTCATGAGCTTTCCTGTGTGGGCTGGTGTTGAACTGCAATCCTCAGAGCTCAGCCTTCTGAGTAGCTGGAATAACCGACGGTGTGAGCTGTGGGTGCCCAGCACTTTAGATGTTTTGTTTGTTTATTTGGTCGGTCGTGGGGCCTGAACTCTGGGCCTGGGCGCTGTCCCTCAGCTCTTCAGCTCAGGGCGAGCGCTCTACCACTTGAGCCACAGTGCCACTTCCGGCTTTTTCTGCTTCTGTGGTGCTGAGGAATCGAACCCAGGGCCTCATGCATGTGAGGCAAGCGCTCTACCCCTGAGCCACCCTCCCAGCCCCCTTCAGGTGTTTTCTGTTAGGGTCCACACAGAGGCGGCGCTAGCCGAGAACGGGGCTGGTGGACACTTTAGCCCTGATTGTCCTTTGCATGTCCACCTGTCCGGTGTGCGAGAGCGCCGCGCTCCTCCTGTGACAAGCTGAGCTGAGCAGATTATCCAGGGCTTTTCCTGACCCTCGCTCCTTTCCAGGAAGGGCCTCAAGTCCCAGCTGGGGGGGGGGGGTGGAGCCGCTGGTGGCCTTGCCCGCAGCGGGTGAGACTGGACAAAGGGAGCCTTGAGTGCCGGAGCATGGGCCGCAGAGCTCTGCCGGCGCCTGACTCCTGGGGCCCAAGGGGAGGGGAGTGCAGCTCAGGGCACATCTTGGTTGTTGGCCTCTGTCCTGGCCAGGACTCAGGCTGCCCCATGTCCCCACCACACTCCACGCTCGGGAGCCTTTCAGTCCACGTCACCCACTGCTGTCCTACCCAGAGGGACACACAGAAGGGCAGGTGGCCACTTCCCCTACGGCAGCGCGTGGTTCCCCTGTGCCAGGCAGTGGCCGACGGCCCTGTGCTGGCCAGTGTGGGCACTGAGGACCCGCTGGCTCTTGGAGGAGTAGCTGCCCACGTGGAGAGGGGCCTAGCAGCTGGGGAGCTCTTCCCAGCCCCCGGGGGCTGCCCTGTGCAGCCTGCCTTCCTGTCAGCTGTCCACAGCCACCCAAGGGGCCCCGGGTCAGGTGACGCTGAGCCTGCACTACCGAGCGAGACCCTGGCCCAGCCTCGGGGTTCGGGGGGGGAGACACTGCGGTGCCCATTATTGAGGCATGGGACCCCTCTTCTCCAGCACATCTGTGTGCCCCAGCCCGACTGCCCCGAGGAGCTGCGCACCTTCTCCTTCTACCTCTCCAACATCGGCCGCGACAGCCCCCAGGGCAGCTTTGACTGCATCCAGCAGTATGTCTCCAGGTGAGCCGGCCGCTGCCCCCCCTCCTGGCACCCTCCCCTTCCCATCCCCCTCCCCGCCTAACTCCCCCGCCCCCACAGCCATGGCGACGTCCACCTGGACTGCTTGGGCAGCATCCAGGACAAGGTCACAGTGTGCGCCACCGACGACTCCTACCAGAAGGCGCGGCAGAGCCTGGCCCAGGCAGAGGAGGAGACGCGCAGTCGGGCCGCCATCGTCATCAAGGCTGGAGGCCGCTACCTGGGTGAGCGGGCGGGGTGCCGGCGGTGGGACCTGGTGAGCCTCCTCCTGTTGGGCTCGGCCTGGGCCTGTGCCTGTGGCCCTGTGCAGGCTGGCCTCGTGTCCTGACTGGTGTCGGCCGTGGTGAGCCTCCTCCTGTTGGGCTCGGCCTGGGCCTGTGTCTGTGGCCCTGTGCAGGCTGGCCTCGTGTCCTGACTGGTGTCGGCCGTGGCAGGTGCACCGAATCCCACACCACCACACAAGCCAGCACCTGTGGTGGCCAAGCTCCCCTTCCCAGAGTAGCACCTGCCGCACCGCGCTGTGCCTGAGCCGCAGCCTGGGGTCCCAGCACGTCCACAGGCCGGCTTCGGAGGCTCCCCACACTCCGGGCAGTGTGTTGAGGTTCACTCGTGTGAGCTGCCCCTGTGAGCCGGCCGTGGGCTGCTTGTGCACCCGGTTTGTGCCAGGCACCACACCGGCCCCCCCCTGACGCCCAGGTCTCCTTGTAGGCAAGAAAGTCCAGTTTCGGAAACCAGCCCCAGGGGCGACAGACAACGTGCCCTCCAGGAAACGGGCCACTCCCATCAACCTGGCCAACGCCATCCGCAGGGGCGGGGCCGGCGGCGTGGCACAGAGGCCCTTCCGGGACCGCGTGGTGCACCTGCTGGCCCTGAGGCCCTACCGCAAGGCTGAGCTGCTGCTGCGGCTGCAGAAGGACGGGCTGGCGCCGGCGGACAAGGAGGCACTGGACGGCCTGCTGCAGCAGGTGCGCGCCAGGCGGGCGGGCCCTGGGCACCCTTAGGTCTGCTGTGGGGCAGCTCCCACCCTCCCCAGCCCTGCCCGCCTCTCCCCAGCACCCTCCCAAGGCTGTCCTGGGCAAAGGGGCTGCCAAAACCCCAAAGACCTCCGCAGATGCTGCTTCCTAATGTGGTTTGGAATGGTCTTGGAGGTTACAAGGCCTGCATGGGAGACGGACCTGGGGCCTCGGCCGGCAGGGACGGGCACAGAGTTGGCATCTGAGGCGGTACCCGCCAGCGGCCGGCACCCTTTGCCCACGGGCACTGCTGCTTTGGAATGCAGTCCGCCCTGCACTCCTGTGGGCGTTCGGTCCCCCCCATCGTGCCCCTGGGGGTTGGGGACGTTGGTGGCTGTTCACTGACTAGACACTAGGACCAAAAAGGCTACCGCCCGGCCCCATTCAGCTCCCTGACAGTCCCTGCTCCGCCTGTGCACACGGACACACGCAGTTACGCAGCTCGGAGGCTACGTGGTGACAGGCCTCCTCTCCTCAAAGCCCGTGCGGGCCAAGACTGACTCGGCCCACACGCAGGCCACGAGAGCACATGACAGCGCATGCGTGGCCTCAGCTCCGGGAAGTGGGCAGCCTGGGTCACGCCTGCCCTCGCCCTCTGGCGCTCACCCAGCTCTGCTCCCACCTGGTGTCTGGGTGCTGTCCCATGACCCGGCCCTGCCTTGCAGGTGGCCAATGTGAGCGCCAGGGACGGCACATGCACGCTGAGGGACTGCGTATACAAGGACGTGCAGAAGGACTGGCCCGGCTACTCAGAAGGGGACCAGCAGCTGCTGAAGCGGGTGCTCGTCCGGTAAGGCCCCAGGGCCCATCGGGTCCCCGCCCCCCACCCCTGGGCTTTGGGGGGGGGTCCCCTGCAAACAAGCACACACCCTCAACCGCGCCCCCTAGTGGGTGAATGAGGCCTGAGGCTCCCGTCGACCCAGAAGTGATGCTTCAGGACCAGAGGCTGTCTGTGGCACGTTTGGTGGTGTTGGGTGTCCGCTCTGGGGCTTCACCTCGGGCCTTGTGTTCTTGGCTTTTGCATCCAAGGCTTGCACTCTAGCTCTTGGGCCACAGTTTTCCTGCAGACTTTTTTTTTTTTGCCAGCCTTAGGATTTGAACTCAGGGCCTGAGCACTGTCCCTGGGTTTCTTTTGCTCAAGGCTTAGTACTCTACCACGTGAGCCACAGCGCAGCTCTGGCTTTCTCTGGGCATGTGGGTCGGGGCCCTGTGGCTGGCTGGGCCTAGGAGAACCCCACACGGGCTGTGTGCAGGCGGCACAGGCTGGCGTGGCCCCAGGCGTGCCAGCGCCACACCTTCTGGTCTGGTATAGCTGTCAGATGACCTTCCTGGTCCTGCTGCACCCTGGGACCCCCCCCACCTGCCTGCTCCCCCCCCACTCCCCCCCACCTGCGCACGCCTCGCTCCACGCAGACCTCAGGGACCCTGTTTCTCTTCTGCTAGGAAATTGTGCCAGCCTCAGACCATGGGCAGCACGCACGGGGAGGCCCCTGCCTCCAGCCCACCCCGAGACCCGAGCAGCGCCTCACCCCCACAGGTACCCTGCAGGGTGCGGGGGTGGGGGGCAGGCCAGCCAGGGACGGGCCACCGCTGAGCCTCACTCAGACTGCCTGGCGCCACACCGCGATCCCGGAGTTACAGGCAGGGGAGGGGCAGGGTGCCACGCATGCCACAGCCAGGCTGCATCAGGCCTGGATGCACAGGCGCGTGCACGGTGGGGGGGGGGTCCCGGCCTCTAAGGGTGTGTCCGTCCCCTGCAGAAGCGGCCACAGCCCCCGGACTTCATCGATCCCCTGGTCAGCAAGAAGCCCAGGATCTCACACTTGGCGCAGAGAGCACAGCCCACCCTCAACGGGAGGCCGGGGGCGTCCAATGGTCGTGAGGCTCTGCCACCCGCCCCCACCGAAGGCCCGGCCACTGGCGTGCCCCCGCCCCCGCGGGCCCACGACCCCCTGGCCGACCTGAGCAACGACCTGGGCCACAGTGGTCAGGAGTGCAGGCGGCCGCAGGCGGCCCCGGCCCCTGACCCCCACCCCGGGCTGCCCCTGCTGACGGACTTGGCCCAGCCGGGCCGGCCCCACGGGGGCCCCCACAGCAAGGCCAAGAAGAAGGCCAAGAAACACAAAGACAAGGACAGGACCCCCGAGGACAGGCGCCGAGCCCCGCTGCCCATGCCCACCCCACTCACGGCGCCCTCCAACACCCCTGGTAGGTGTACACAGCCAAGGCGCCCAGCCTGCCCAGAGAGCCTCCGGAGAGTCAGAGCCGCCGCCGTGGCCCCCAGCAGCCTAGTGAGGACCAGGGTGTTGGGGGCCAGGGTGAAGGGACCCCTGTGGGGGCCCCTGTCTCGCCTGGCAGCAGCATGTTTATGTGCTGGCCACCAGAGGGCGCTCTGCCCTGTGCGGCGGCTGCTGCTGGGGGGGGACGGCGCCAGCAGCTCCAGAGCACACACCCCTGCCAGCCAGGTCTGGGCGCTCAGCCCCCCAGGACCATGCCCGCGGCTGCTCTGCATGTCTCCAGACTCCAAGCTGGCTACAGGCGCAGTGGTGTCTTTAATGCGGCTGGAAAGATGGGGTGCAGGGCCCCTCACCCGGGGAGGCTCATGGAGAAGCCGAGGGATGCAGGTGTGGCTCTGCGTTGCCGTCCACACAGCCACCCGTGTGCCTGCCGGCCCCGGTGGGAGGCGGCCCTGGCCAGGCTGCGGGGCTCCCGCTGCGGGAGGCGGGCTGCGGCCACCCCGGGGCTAGCAGCTCAGAACCCGCCACCGGGCCAGCCTCCGGTCCTGGCCTGAGTTATGTCCTCTGGGTCTGAGCCCCACAGCAGAGTGCAGGCTTCTCCTCAGAGCCAAGGGGCCAGGGAGGGCGCCCCCCGCCCATGGGGATGAGCCTGAGAGCACTGCAGCGCGGGGCCATGTGCCTGTGAGCCCAGCCCGGAGAGGTGCAGGCAGCAGGGCTTTAAGCTCCAGGCTGGCCTGGGCTGCACAGCAAGGTCCCATGTCAAAATGACGTGAGCTGGGAAGGCCGGTGCCCCCACTGACCAATGCCACCCCGGCCTCTGCCATCCCGTCCACGCCCCAGCTCTGCCTGAGGACTGGCGCCGCCCAGGGCCACTGGCCTGGACAGCCGCCTGCCAGAGGTGCCCTGTCCCCATCCTACGCGGCACCGCCCCAGCAGCCTAGGTCTCACACTGGCTCATGCGTGTGCGTGTGTGTGTGCGTGTGTGCATGTGTGTGCAACTGCAACCTTTACCACATGGCCAGTGGAGGCACCGGCTGAGCCATCGGCCCTGGATATGCCCACACCCGCTGTGGTCTGAGGTGAGCAGGGTGCTCACACCCACACCCGCTGTGGTCCAGGATGAGCAGGGTGCTCACACCCACACCCTCTGTGGCCCTGGGGTGGGTTGTGTGCCCACACCTGCTGTGGCCCCGGGGTGGGTTGTGTGCCCACGCCCGCTGTGGCCCCGGGGTGAGTGGACCGCCCATACCTGCTGTGGCCCCGGGGTGGGTTGTGCGCCCACACCTGCTGTGGCCCGGGGAGGCAGGGCTGAGTCAGTGCTTCCTGCAGGTGTGAACGGAGATGTCAGCAGTGCCGATGTCCCCGTGTCCACCACGGACACACCCGACTACTTGCTGTGAGTATGGGCGCCGGTGCAGGACGGCCAGGCTGGTGCGCGATGGCCAGCATCGAATCTGGGGCTTCTCTGCACAGGAAATACGCCGCCATCTCCTCCTCGGAGCAGCGCCAGAGCTACAAGAACGACTTCAACGCAGAGTACAGCGAGTACCGCGACCTGCACGCCCGCATCGAGCAGATCACACGCCGCTTCACGCAGCTCGATGCCCAGCTGCGCCAGCTGGCCCAGGGTTCTGAGGAGTACGAGGTGGGCAGGGGGTGGGCGCAGGCTCTGGTCACCTGCAGGTCGGGTGCATCTGCAGACAGCTCAGCTCCACCAGCACCCGGGGGTGGGGCGGGGCGGGGCGGGGCGGCGCTGTTTGGTGGCCCTTCCTAAAACAGGATGGAAAGCACCAGGGGGAGCCGCTGGGCCTACAGACTTGGTGCCCTTGGATGGAAAAATGCCCACACACCCCAGGGTAGGGCCGGGCCAGGCCTGGCCTCTCTGTTCACACACAGCACAGGGGGTTGTGCCAGGACGGAGCTGGCTCCAAGCCCTGGAGTCAGGGACTTCACCTACTAACCCCGCAGGCCCCAGAGTCCCTGGCATGGTAGACGTGCCCAGCTCTCCAGGCTGGCCTCCGGGTCACACCCTGTCCCCTGCCCTGGGTGCCCCTCCCCTGGGCACGCCAGCTCCTCCCCGGGGGGGAGGGAGGGGGTAGCATCAGCTTGTTTCTCGCATCAGCTTGTTTCTCCTGTTTCCGCAGACCACTCGGGGACAGATTTTACAGGAATATCGGAAAATCAAGAAGGTGAGTGTTGGGGTGCCGGGAGTGGGGAGGCCGCCCTGGCCCCAGCACGCTGGCCACCGCGAGGGTTCCGGACTCCCTTCTCCAAGTTGGCTCGGGCCTGCGGTCCCCAGCACGGCCGGAAGGCCGTGGGTGACGCCGGCCGCTGTCCACAGACCAACACCAACTACAGCCAGGAGAAGCGGCGCTGCGAGTACCTGCACAGCAAGCTGGCGCACATCAAGCAGCTCATCGCCCAGTACGACCGGCGCCAGCTGCAGCCCTGGCCCTAGCCTGGCCTGCTCCCGCCCAGACTGGCCGCTGCCTTTTCTAGTTTTCTACCAAGTCAGCCACTTTGAGCTGCTGCGAAAGAGACTCCAGTCTATTTTTGTACAAAAGAGAACGCAAAATCTTTTCTAAACCTGTGCCTCCCTCCTTGGATGCCCAGGTCCGGTGCCGCTGGCCCTTCTGCAGTGTTACGGCCTTGGTCCTGACTCGGGCCCAGCGGGCCCAGCTGCAGCCCCGGGCCCACAGCCGGATCTGCCGTGCAGGGCCTCAGCCGGGGGTGACACGGGAGACTGTGGGCCTCACCCCCAGCTCCTGCCCGCTTCACACTGGCCGGGCCGTGGTCTCCCTTCTGCTGCCCCAGCTCTGCCCCTGTCCACACATGGGTGGGCGCCATCCCGTGGAGTCACACAGGCCTTGCTCTCAGGGAGGGATTGAGGGCCCCGGGGTGGGGTCTTGCCTGCCCTCTCTGGGGTGCAGGCTCCGCAACACCCCAGTTGCTGCTTTGTTGCTGTGCCTATTCCCCATGTGCGTGAGTGTGCGTGTGTGCGCGTGTGTGTATGGACCCTCCCTGAGCGCGGTTGGGAGCGTGTCCTGCTCAGGGCCCAGCCGGGACAGGAATGCGGAGGGTCACACAGGCCGGGCCGCAGCCGGGGGAGGCCGGGCAGATGCGAGCGGCGCTGTTTCTGTAACCCACGGGTGGCCCTGTGCCTTCCAGAGAGTGGGGGAGGCTTCCTCTCCATCTGGCCACGCAGCTGGGAAGTTGTGCAGGCCCCCCTCTGCGGGCCCAGCTTGTTGGCCGAGAGCCAGGGCACCCCCACCGGGTTCTCCATTGTCTGTCTCCTGTCATGTCTGTCCGTCTACCGGTGACGCCAGCCGGTTCTGCTCTAACTTATTTAGACTGTGGAGAACCCCTTTGAGCCATGACGCCGGGATCCAGAGCCTTCACTTTGCCAAATGTTACAGTGGAGCGCCGCGGGCACCGTCGCTTCCCGGGGTTTCTCTAAAGATCAGCTACAATAAACCGCCTGGACGCAGCACTGCTCGCGTGTGCCTGCGTGTCTGCCTGCATGTCCGCCTGCATGGGGCTGGGTGTCTGGGCATCAGAGCCGGGCACACAGGACTGGGACTGGGTGGGCGGAGACACCTCTGTCCTGCTGGTGCCCGTGAGTGCTGCAGCAGGTAGTGGGTACCTGCTGCATTCGTGAAGACCTCGGCTCAACATCACCTCCAGGAATGGCAGGTCATAGTTCTTCTCGGCTGGTACCTGGCAGCCCTGTCCCCATCTCCCCAGGGGCGCGACACCAGAGCCTGGGGACTGCCTGCCTCAGCTGCCATCTGTGCAAGCCTGGGTGCCAGGGGCTCAGCTCTGAGAGTGGAGAACACAAAAGTTTTTGCTGCTGGGCGCCGGTGGCTCACACCTGTAACTCTATGAGCTCAGGAGGCTGAGATCTGAGGATCACGGTTCAAAGCCAGCCTGCGCAAGAAAGGCCGTGAGACTCATCTCCAACTAACCACTAGAAAACCGGAAGTGGCGCTGTGGCTCAAGCAGTAGAGCGCTCACCTTGAGCTGAAAAGTTGAGGGAGAGTGCCCAGGCCCAGAGTTCAAGCCCACAACTGACAAAAAAAAAAAGTATAAAAAAGTTTTTTGCCGATCCTGGGTGGGGCTGGAACTTGGGACCTGGGTGCTCTCTCTCCCTGAGCTTCTTTGTGTTCAAGGTTTGTGCTCTACCACTTGGGCCACAGCACCACTTGCAGCTTTTTCTAGTAGTTTATATTAGAGATCCGAGTCTCACATACTTTCCTGCCTAGATTGGCCTTGAACTGTAATCCTCAGATCTCAGTCTCCTGAGTAGACGACACATCCACTAAACTATCCAAGAAGCTGGGATTGGAGTTGTGGCTTCAGCTTAGGTTCAGAACAGCACCCAGTCCTTGAGTTCAGGCCCCAGGATGGGCATGCGCATGCATACACACTTGCACATGTGTACACACACCTAAGTGGTGGCTGCAGCCTGGGGAAGCGGTGGGCAGCCCCGGCTGCGCAGAGCTCCTGCCTGGCCATGACGGCCTTCCCCAGGCATCTGCCCCCAGACCCAGCTCAGTGGCTGCCCTGCCCCACAGCCCACCCCATGGCCAGCCACTGGGCACCACCCGCCAGCACCCCCTGCCTCAGTTTACTGGCCCTCCCCATTTCACACGGTGAGCAGTGGAATCCCCCGTCCTGTTTGGGACTGGCGGCCCCCTCCCCAGGAGCAGAGTGCATCAAGCTCAGGGCTCAGTGGAAGCTTGTGCGGGGTGAGCCTAGTTCTTGCCCATGTCCCCCCCCCTCCGCCCACACACTCGTGACCCTACAGCCCAGGCCCCAGACCCTGGAGTCCAGAAAAGCTACTCATTTATTGAGTCGTTTCTCTCGGGGCTGGGCGGCGGCGCGGTGGCAGCGTGCCTGCCTGGTGGCCACGAGACTCAGGTCCTGGTCCCGGGTCCTCTTCCTCAGCACCACTTACGCAGGGTAAGTTTCACACGACCAGAGCCTTGGAGAACAGCGTTTGGCACTTGGGTGCCAGAGGCAGGAGGGTTGTGAGTTCAAGGCCAGCCTGGGCGCAGGGAGGCCCGACAGGTGCTGGGGAGGGGACAGTCTTATCCATGGTCACATGGGGAGAAGTCAAAGGCCGGGAGCTGCTGGCCTGGAAGTCGGGGGCCGGAGTTGGGGGCAGTGGGGGGGAGGAGGAAGACAGTTCTGCCCCTGGAGACCCCAGGCCTGGCTGCTCCTGCCCTAGGCACCGCCTGTGTCTGCTGGGAGCGCATCCCCCCCCCCCCCCCGACCCCCCCCCCCCCCCGCAGAGCAGGGGCGCCCTCCTCCTCCCCCCCCTCCCCATGTGGGGCAGGGGTGCCCTCCTCCTCCCTCCCCCGTGCAGGGCAGGGACGCCCTCCTCCTACCCCCCTCCCCATGTGGGGCAGGGATGCCCTCCTCCTCCCCCCCCCCCCCCGTGCAGGGCAGGGATGCCCTCCTCCTCCCCCCTCCCCCCGTGCGGGGCAGGGGTGCCCTCCTCCTCCCCCCCCCCCCCCGTGTGGGGCAGGGGCGCCCTCCTCCCCCCTCCCCCCGTGCAGGGAAGAAGCGCCCTCCTCCTCCCCCCCCCCCGTGTGGGGCAGGGGTGCCCTCCTCCTCCCCCCCCCCCGTGTGGGGCAGGGGTGCCCTCCTCCTCCCCCCCCCCCCGTGTGGGGCAGGGGCGCCCTCCTCCCCCCGTGCAGGGCAGGGACGCCCTCCTCCCCCCTCCCCCCCGTGCAGGGAAGAAGCGCCCTCCTCCTCCCCCCCCCCCCCCGTGTGGGGCAGGGGTGCCCTCCTCCTCCCCCCCTCCCCCCCCCGTGCAGGGCAGGAGCGCCCTCCTCCCCCTCTCCCTCCTCCCCCTCCCCCTTCCTCCCCCTCCCCCCCCCCCCCCGCCGGCCCGCCCCCGCCCAGCCCGAGCCCCAAGGCCGGCGGCGCCGTTCCCACGGACACCCCCCGCCGCCGGCTGCTTGTTTTGGAAACTTCTGGGGGCGCCGCCCGGTTCCCACGCTCCCCTCGCCGCGCGGGCCGGGGGGAGGGGAAACCGAGGCCGGGAGCCGAGGGCTGCGCCGCGGGCGGCGGCAGGGATGGGGAGGCGGCGGGGAACCGGCTGGGGGCGGCGGGGCCTCGAACCCTGGCCCCGCCCCCGCGGGAGCCCCGCCCACTGGGCGGGGCCGGGGCGCGGTCGAGGCCTTTTTCTCCCCGGCCGCGAGCCTGGGGTCTCAGCCGACTCCGCTCAGGTGAGTGGGCCGGGGTGGGGGAGCCGGGGGCCAGGGGCCTTCGGGACGGCGGGGCTCCGGGTTTGGGGGGCCAGGGGCCGTGGGCTCCGGGGTTGGGGGGCTGCGGGCCCGGAGTGTGGGCGGCCGGGAGGCTCCGGGCCGGGGTCCAGGGGGCTGCGGGACGGCGGGGCTCCGGGGACGGAAGGCTCCGGGGTTGGAGCCGAGGCGCTGGCGCTGAGCCCCTAACCGGGCCGCAGCCGCCGCGATGGAGGCCGCCGCCGAGTTCGTGGTGGAGAGCCCGGACGTGGTCTACAGCCCCGAGGCCATCGAGGCGCGGTACGAGTACCGGACGACGCGCGTCAGCCGCGAGGGCGGCGGCCTGAAGGTGGCGAGGGGCCGGGCGTGGGCGGGGGCCGTCCGCCCCGGCGCCGAGCGGCCGCGGGCCCGCTGACCCCGCTGACCCCCACAGGTGCGGCCCACCTCCGTGCGCTACACCTTCCGGACCGCCCGGCAGGTGCCCCGGCTCGGGGTCATGCTGGTCGGCTGGGGCGGGAACAACGGCTCCACGCTGACCGCGGCCGTGCTTGCCAACCGCCTGCGCCTGTCCTGGCCCACGCGCACCGGCCGCAAGGTGGGGGGCGCCGCGGCCGGGAAACGGCCGGGCAGAGAGCGCTGGGGGCGGGGGTCGAGCCTGGGGGCGTGGCCGGGCAGAGAGCGCTGGGGGCGGGGTCGAGCCTGGGGGCGTGGCCGGGCAGAGAGCGCTGGGGGCGGGGTCGAGCCTGGGGGCGTGGCCGGGCAGAGAGCGCTGGGGGCGCCTCGGCCGGGGAACGGCCCGGCAGAGAGCGCTGGGGGCGGGGCGGGCCTGGGGGCGGGGCCGGGCAGAGAGCGCTGGGGGCGGGGTCGAGCCTGGGGGCGTGGCCGGGCAGAGAGCGCTGGGGGCTGGGGGCGCCTCGGCCGGGGAACGGCCGGGCAGAGAGCGCTGGGGGCGGAGCGGGCCTGGGGGCGTGGCCGGGCAGAGAGCGCTGGGGGCGGGGCCTGGCAGAGATCGCTGGGGGCGGGGTCGAGCCTGGGGGCGTGGCCGGGCAGAGAGCGCTGGGGGCGGGGCCGGGCAGAGAGCGCTGGGGGCGGGGTCGAGCCTGGGGGCGTGGCCGGGCAGAGAGCGCTGGGGGCGGGGCGGGCCTGGGGGCGGGGCCGGGCAGAGAGCGCTGGGGGCGGGGCGGGCCTGGGGGCGGGGCCGGGCAGAGAGCGCTGGGGGCGGGGTCGAGCTGGGGGCGCGGCTGGGCAGATTGCGCTGGGGGCGGGGTCGAGCCTGGGCAGATTGCGCTGGGGGCGGGGTCGAGCCTGGGGGCGTGGCTGGGCAGATTGCGCTGGGGGCGGGGGCGGGGCCTGGTGGGGGGCCCTCGGCGGGTGGAGCCTGGCCAAGGATTCCCAGGGCAGGGCCTTGGAGGCGCTTACAAATGTAGGCGTGTCTGTGGGTGGAGCGTCTGGGCGTGGCCTACAGTTGGGTGGGCGTGGTTTAGTCAGGCTTCAGGGCGGGGTACACTGGAGTCCAAGAGGCGAACTCCGACGGGTGGGCGTGGTCTAGTGGGGGCTCCATTTGGTGTGGGCGGGCCTAGGGCGGGGCGCGCTTCGCTGAGCGGTGGGGACCAAGGCTTTGGCCTGGGCTGAGCGCCTGGAACTGCAAACCCCAGGCTAGGTGGCGATGGCGGGGGCTCAGGCCGGGATGGTCCATAGCTCTGCTCTTATCCCTGTGTCTGCCGCCCCCAGGAAGCCAACTACTACGGCTCGCTGACCCAGTCCGGCACCCTGAGCCTGGGCCTGGATGCTGACGGCCGGGAAGTGTTCGTGCCCTTGCGTGCAATGTTGCCCATGGTGGCGCCGAACGACCTGGTGTTCGATGGTGGGCAGGGCGGGGGGCGGGGGCCGGGGTCCCCAGGTCTCCTGGTCCGGGGCTGAGTCGAGCGCAAGGGTCCCCGCCCTTCCCCCCCAGGCTGGGACATCTCGTCGCTGAACCTGGCGGAGGCTATGCGGCGCGCGCAGGTGTTGGACTGCCGCCTGCAGGAGCAGCTGTGGCCGCACATGGAGCGCCTGCGCCCCCGGCCCTCGGTCTACATCCCCGAGTTCATCGCCGCCAACCAGAGCGCGCGCGCCGACAACCTGATCGCGGGCTCGCGCGCCGAGCAGGTGCCGTCCCTGTCCCCGGCCCGCAGCCCCGGCCCGCTGCCCGGGCCTGTGCGACCCCGCCCTCCCTCCCCAGCTGGAGCAGATCCGCCAGGACATCCGGGACTTCCGGGCCGGCGCGGGGCTGGACAAGGTCATCGTGCTGTGGACGGCCAACACGGAGCGCTTCTGCGACGTGGTTCCAGGACTCAATGACACGGCCGAGAACCTTCTGCGCACCATCCAGGTGGGCGCGCGCGCGGGGCCGGGCGGGGCGGCCTGCCCGGGCTTGGCGCTGACCGCCGCTCTCCCCCGCTCTCCCCGGGCCGCAGCTGGGCGGGGAGGTGTCGCCGTCCACGCTCTTCGCCGTGGCCAGCATCCTGGAGGGCTGCGCTTTCCTCAACGGGTCCCCGCAGAACACGCTGGTGCCCGGCGCGCTGGAGCTGGCCGCGCGGCATCGCGTGTTCGTGGGCGGCGATGACTTCAAGTCCGGCCAGACCAAGGTCAAGTCGGTGCTCGTGGACTTCCTCATCGGCTCCGGCCTCAAGGTGCGGGGCCGGGGGTGGGCGGCGCAGTGCGGGAAGGGGGCCACGGGGTTCCGCGGGCCTAGCGGCCCCCCCGGGGCTGTAATCACCGCAGACCATGTCCATCGTGAGCTACAACCACCTGGGCAACAACGATGGGCAGAACCTGTCGGCGCCGCAGCAGTTCCGCTCCAAGGAGGTGTCCAAGAGCAACGTGGTGGACGACATGGTGCACAGCAACCCCGTGCTCTACGCGCCCAGCGAGCAGCCGGACCACTGCGTGCGTGGGGCGCGGGCGGGGTGCGGGGGGCCAGGGCCGCCCCGGGCGAGCGGCAAGCAAGGGGGGGGGGAGCAAGCACGCTGCGGGGGGGGGGAGCAAGCACGGGGGGAGCAAGCACGGGGGGAGCAAGCACGGGGGGGGGGGAGCAAGCACGGGGGGGCAAGCACGAGGGGGGGAGCAAGCACGAGGGGGGAGCAAGCACGGGGGGGGAGCAAGCACGGGGGGGGGAGCAAGCACGGGGGGGGCAAGCACGAGGGGGGAGCAAGCACGGGGGGGGGAGCAAGCACGGGGGGGGAGCAAGCACGGGGGGGGCAAGCACGGGGGGGGAGCAAGCACGGGGGGGGCAAGCACGAGGGGGGAGCAAGCACGGGGGGGGGAGCAAGCACGGGGGGGGGAGCAAGCACGGGGGGGGAGCAAGCACGAGGGGGAGCAAGCACGGGGGGGGGAGCAAGCACGGGGGGGGAGCAAGCACGGGGGGGGGAGCAAGCACGGGGGGGAGCAAGCACGGGGGGGAGCAAGCACGGGGGGAGCAAGCACGGGGGGGGAGCAAGCACGGGGGGGGAGCAAGCACGGGGGGAGCAAGCACGGGGGGGGAGCAAGCACGGGGGGGAGCAAGCACGGGGGGGGGAGCAAGCACGAGGGGAGCAAGCACGGGGGGGGGAGCAAGCACGGGGGGGAGCAAGCACGGGGGGAGCAAGCACGGGGGGAGCGGCAAGCACGGGGGGGGGGAGCAAGCACGGGGGGGGGAGCAAGCACGGGGGGGGAGCAAGCACGGGGGGAGCAAGCACGGGGGGAGCAAGCACGGGGGGAGCAAGCACGGGGGGGGAGCAAGCACGGGGGGGGGAGCAAGCACGGGGGGAGCAAGCACGGGGGGAGCAAGCACGGGGGGAGCAAGCACGGGGGGGGAGCAAGCACGAGGGGGGAGCAAGCACGGGGGGAGCAAGCACGGGGGGAGCAAGCACGGGGGGAGCGGCAAGCACGGGGGGAGCGGCAAGCACGGGGGGGGAGCAAGCACGGGGGGAGCAAGCACGGGGGGGGGAGCAAGCACGGGGGGAGCAAGCACGGGGGGAGCAAGCACGGGGGGAGCGGCAAGCACGGGGGGGGGAGCAAGCACGGGGGGGGGAGCAAGCACGGGGGGGGGGGACGGCAAGCACGGGGTATCCTTGAGTGGGGGCCGACCGGGCCAGGGCGTCCGGGAAGACGTGGCGCCCGTGCCGTCCCCAGGTGGTCATCAAGTACGTGCCGTACGTGGGCGACAGCAAGCGCGCTCTGGACGAGTACACATCTGAGCTGATGCTGGGCGGCACCAACACGCTGGTGCTGCACAACACGTGCGAGGTGCGGGCCGGGAGGGGGGGCAGGGAGGGCCGGGGAGGGGCGGGACCTGAGCGGGGGCCGGGCCGGGGAGGGGCGGGACCTGAGCGGGGGCGGGGCCGGGGAGGGGCGGGACCTGAGCGGGGGCGGGGGCCGGGGAGGGGCGGGGCCGGGGGCGGGACCTGAGCGGGGGCGGGGCCGGGGAGGGGCGGGACCTGAGCGGGGGCGGGGAGGGGCGGGACCTGAGCGGGGGCGGGCCCGGGAGGGGAGGGGCCTCGGCGGCGGCCCCGCCCCTGAGCCGCCCCCCCCCCCGCCCGCCCCCAGGACTCGCTGCTGGCCGCGCCCATCATGCTGGACCTGGCGCTGCTCACGGAGCTGTGCCAGCGCGTGAGCTTCTGCACCGACGCCGACCCCGAGCCGCAGGGCTTCCACCCGGTGCTGTCGCTGCTCAGCTTCCTCTTCAAGGCGCCGCTCGTGCCGCCCGGCAGCCCGGTGGTGAACGCGCTCTTCCGCCAGCGCAGCTGCATCGAGAATATCCTCCGGTGCGCACGGGGAGGGGAGAGGAGGAGCGGGGCGGGGCGGGGCCGAGCCGGGCCGGGCCGCTGACGCCGCCCCTCCGCCCAGGGCCTGCGTGGGGCTCCCGCCGCAGAACCACATGCTGCTGGAGCACAAGATGGAGCGGGCCCAGGCCGGCGAGGTGCCGGCGGCCACCAGCCCGCTGTCCTGCAAGAAGGAGACGGCGGCCGCCGACTGCAGCACCGGCGACGCCCACGGGCAGGCGCCGCCGCGGGCCCCGCAGGTGCCCTCCGCGTGACAACGTGACAGCGCGGTCACGCCCCCCACCCGGCGTCCGAGGGCGCCCGCCCCCCCACCCTCCCTCCGAGGGCGCCCGCCCCCCCACCCTCCCTCCGAGGGCGCCCGCCCCCCCACCCTCCCTCCGAGGGCGCCCGCCCCCCCACCCTCCCTCCGAGGGCGCCCGCCCCCCCCACCCTCCGAGGGCGCCCGCCCCCCCAGCTCCCCTCCGAGGGCGCCCGCCCCCCCACCCTCCCTCCGAGGGCGCCCGCCCCCCTACTCTCCCTCCGAGGGCGCCCGCCCTCCCACCCCCCTTCGAGGTCTCCCCCCGCCGCGCACACCCCCGATCCCCTCCGAGGTCACCCGTCCCCCCTCGCCAGTTCCCCCCAACAATAAACCCCTTGAAAGCTGCGCCTGCCTCCTCCGGAGCCCGCACGCGTGGCGGGCGCGGCTGCCCCGCTCCCCGACCAGCGCGAGGCGCGGGACAGAGGGCCCTGACCAGAACCCGGATTACTGACCCGCCCGGGTCCCGGCCACCACCCTCCCTCGGGAGGACCGGGACACGCATCGGGGCCGCGGGGAGAGCCGGAGGACGGGCGCAGCCCATTGGCCAGCTCGGAATCAAGGGCGGCGGTGAGGCCCCGCCCCCCTGTTCCGATTGGCTGGGCTCAGACTGTCTGCCCCTGATTGGCTAATGGCGACAAAGACGTTTCAGCTCGTGGTCTAGTAAACAAATTGATCTAGGCTGAGACTGATGGGGGCGGGAGGAGGGGACCGGCGGGGCGAGGTGGGGGTGACGGCAGGGCTGCGGGACCGCGGCCCCCGCCGGGCAGCTTGAGGGCCTCCGCAGGACGTCGCACTAGGGCTCAGATCACTGCTGCCTTAGACCTCCGTTTCCCAGGCCTTCCTGGGAAGTGGAGGCTGTGGGGCCGAGGCCGGGCCTCGGACAGCCATAGGGCCCGGGAAGGACGAGTGTGGGGCAGGGCGGCCGGGGCCCCGGTGTCCTGAGGGCTGGAAGAGGCGGCGGACCGGCCCCCAGGCTGGGCCCAGACCCCAGCCGCACTCCCAAGCCAGCTGCAGAGCTGGGGTGACCGGCCTAGAATGGCGATGCTGGGTGGGTCCCGGCTGGGGCCTCAAGCCCAGTGCTCAAGGTGCAGGTGCAACTGCCCCTCCGGACCTGCCACCTCCAGGGCCTGTCCACCCCTTCCCCCAGGACCTGACACCCCCCCCTTCTCCCAGACCTAGCTGATCCAGAACCTTAATCACCTGCTTCTCAGCCTCCTGAATACTAGGATTACAGACGTAGGCCACAGGCATCCTACAAAATCTTGCTATTGCTGGGCGCCAGTGGCTCCCACCTGTAATCCTAGCTATTCAGGAGGCTGAGATCTGAGGATCACGGTTCAAAGCCAGTCGGGGCAGGAAAGTCTGTGAGACTCTTATCTCCAATAAACCACTAGAAAACCAAAAGTGGCGCGGTGGCTCAAGGGGTAGAGCACTCGCTTTGAGCTGAAGAGCTGAGGCCCAGAGTTCAAGCCCCGGGACGGACAAAAAATTGCCAGTAACCAGCAGAGCAGCCGTTTGATGCTGTGTCCCTCATACCCGGGTCGGGTCTCTTGAGCAGAGCTCACTGCTCTGCTCACGTACCCCACGTTCTCGGTGGAGTCTTGATTTCACCCTTGTTCCCAAGTTGGCCTCCAGATATACATTTATAGATTAACAAATTATTTCATGGTAAATACCATAAACATTACAGGAAAGAAAATCTCCTTCCACCAGCTTAAAAAAAGCCCACTATGTAACATTACAGGCACATCTTAATTTTCTCCTTTTTCTCTTATTTTCTTTTTCTTTTTTGCCAGACCTGGGTCTTGAACTCAGGGCTAGGGCACTGTCCCTGAGCTTCTTTTGCTCAATGTTAGCACTCTATTGCTTGAGCTCCCTGCTGGCTTTTTCTCTGTGTGTGTGGTACTGAGGAATCGAACCCAGGACTTCATGCATGCCACATTCCCAGCCCTGCTTTCCTTATTCTAAGGTGGGCTTCCATGTTGGACTTTTATCCATGCTGGTACTGGGATTTGAGGTCGGCCTGGAAACTAACTTAGCTGTTTTTTACTCAAGGCTGGCACTCTACCACTTGAACCACAGAGCCGCTTTTGGATTTTTGGAGTTAATCAGAGATAAGCACTTCATGAACTTTCTTGCACGGGCTGGCTTTGAACCGAGATCCTCAGAGCTCGGCCAGCTGACAAGCTGGGCTTACAGGCGTGAGCCCCCGGCCGGGCCTTCTGGCCTTTGAGACAAGATCTCATTGCGCAGCCCAGGCGCCTTTGAACTTGAGACCCTCCTACCTCGGTCCCCCGTGCTGGGACCACAGACACTCCCCAACTATTTGTAAAACAACAGAATTCTACCCACTTTTTAAATAATAAAAGGCAAGCAGCTGTCAATGTTCCAGAAAGCAACCAGTGGTCCTGAGCCGCCAAGCCTTCCTCCCGCACCTGTGGACAGGGGCGGGGCGTAGGCTGGGGGCGGGGCGAGCCTGTGACATCATCACATGACACACCTTGCTGAGTCTCAGCCACTAGGGCCCCGTGCACTTGACCTGTGAGTGACTTGGGACGGCTTCCCCAGCGGGGCCGCGACCCTGCCTCTTGCCCCTCCCACTCAGGAAGCCACACTCGCTCCTCAGGGCCCGGCCCCTCGTGGTAGGCCACGCCCACAGCACCCTGGCTCAAGGACACGCCTTTTCCTCAGTGCACGCTCCCCGGTGGCCCCACCCATCACTCGACCACACTCTGTGGCCACGCCCTCGATTACCTTGCCCCAGTCCTGGACTTCACCGCTCTGGGAAATCCCGCCCATCCCCCTTGGCCACGCCCCGCCCGCCTGCGATGACCCCGCCCGTCCTCGTTGGCCACGCCCCTCCCGATCTGCGGGGGCCCTCTGGCCACGCCTCCGCCCCGCCGTGGCCACGCCCACCCCGGGCGCGCCCAGGGCCGTCGCGTTGGTCAGTGAATCGCTCGGTCCCGCTCCGCAGCGCCGGTGTCAGGAAACCGGCGCCGGGGCAGACCCGGACCCAGGCCGCTGGCACCCAGAAGAGGGAAGTGGGGCCGGCGGCCCCGCCCCGCGCCTCCTGCCCCTCTCAGCAGCCCCGCAGCAGTTCCTCTTCGCCCCAGTCGCCTCTGCGCGGAGGCCGAGGCCCGGGACTCCCGTGCTCGGTGCTCGCGGTTCCGTCCAGGTGAGCCACGACCCGGCCCAGCGGGGACCGTGCCGGGGGAGCCCCGGGCGCCGGCCTTGCGCCCTGTCCAGGACCGGGGTCTGGGAGGCGCGGTGCAGGAACGGGCAGTTTCCGGGCAACCGCCGGTCCGCACAGGGCGCGGGGGTGAGGCGGGTGGGCGGGGGCGGGCCAGGCCCGGGCTCTGCCATCCCCGCAGGCCGGGCCAGCGCGGTGCGGTGCGGGGGGGGGGGGGAAAGCCGAGGCGGGGCCGGCCGGGCGCGGGGCGGGGCGGTGCGTGGGGAGGGGGGGCGAGGCGGGCCGGCCGGGCGCGGTGCGGTGCGGGGGGCGAGGTGGGCCGGGCCGGCGCGGTGCGGGGCGGGGGGCGAGGTGGGCCGGCCGGGCGCGGTGCGGTGCGGTGCGGGGGGCGGGGCCGGCCGGGCGCGGGGCGGGACGGGGCGGGGGGCGAGGCCGGCCGGGCGCGGTGCGGGGCGGGGCGGGGGGCGGGGCCGGGCAGGCGCGGGGCGGTGCCGTGCGGGAGGCGGTGCCGTGCGGGAGGCGGTGCCGTGCGGGGGGCGGGGCGGGGCGGGGCGGGGCGGGGGGGCGGGGCCGGGCGGGGCGGGGGGCGGGGCCGGCCGGGCGCGGGGCGGGGCGGGGGGCGGGGCCGGCCGGGCGCGGTGCCGGGCGGGGGGCGGGGGGCGGGGCCCGCCCGGCGCAGTGCGGTGCGGGGGGCGAGGTGGGCCGGCCGGGCGCGGTGCGGTGCGGTGCGGGGGGCGGGGCCGGCCGGGCGCGGGGCGGGACGGGGCAGGGGGCGAGGCCGGCCGGGCGCGGTGCGGGGCGGGGGGCGGGGCCGTGCGGGGGGCGGGGCGGGGCGGGGCGCGGGGCGGGGCGCGGGGCGGGGCCGGGGCCGGCCAGGCGCGGGGCGGGGGGCGGGGCGGGGCCGGCGGTGCGGTGCGGTGCCGGGGGCGGGGCCGGCCGGGCGCGGGGCGGTGCGGGGGGCGGGGCCGGCCGGGCGCGGGGCGGTGCGGTGCCGGGGGCCGGCCGGCCCCGCGCCGTGGCCCCAGCTCGCGTCTCTCCGCAGGGTGGCCGATGGCCGTGCCCGCGGCCTGGGCGCTGCTGCCGCTGCTGCAGGCGCTGGCCGGCCGCGGCCTGGCCTGCATCGTGCTCTCCGGCGAGGTGGACTGGGCCGAGGAGGTCGGCGCCACGTGCCTGAACCTGAGCGGCCTTGGCGTGCGGCTGCCCCGGGACCGGCCCCTGCGGGCGCCGCGCCTGCGGGTCCTGGACCTGTCCCACAACGGGCTGCGCGAGCTCCCGCCCGCCTTCTTCGCCGAGCTGGACGAGCTGCGGAGCCTGGACGCGGCCGGGAACCCGCTGGTGCGCGTGGCCGCCGCGCTGGCCGCCCGCTGCGGCCTCGAGCTGCGCGCGGACTGCGGCTGCGCCCTGGCCGCCTGGCACCGGGCCCGGCGCGACAACTGCTCGGACCCGGGGCCCCTGCAGTGCGTGCTCGCGGCCACCGGCGCCGCCCAGAACCTGTCCGCCTTCCTGGAGGCCCGCTGCGCCCCGGGCCCGGCCCCCGCCACCATCGCCGCGGCCGCGGCCGGCGGCCTGGTCTTCCTCGGGCTACTCGCCGCGGGCTCCGTGCTGGCCTGCAGACTCTGGGGCCCGCGGGGGCCCGCGGGCCGGGGCAAGGGCCAGGGCGCTCAGGACCGGGCCGGGCCGGGCTCACAGCCGCGGTACAGCAGCCGGGACCCCCGCCCCGCGCCCCCCTCCTCCGCGCCCGACTATGAGAACGTGTTCATCGGCCAGGCAGCCTCGGAGCCTCAGTGGACTTCTCACGGGTGAGTGACCCCGCACGCGTCACCATGCCGCCCTGCGGCGCCAGCTGCTCCGGACAGCACATGAGATTGGCTCAAACAAAACCAGGAGGGCAGGGGGGCCGGCCCTGCTTCCTGGGCGCTGTGCATCCTGGGGCGAGGAACTGCAGCTCTCTGATCTCACCTCCCAAGGGTAACACCCCCTCCCCCACAGGGTGCTGGGTAAGGGCTGGAGAAGTTCCTGCCTGTGGGGACAGTTTCCACCTCACGACCTATAAACCCACTTTCTGGACAGGAAGAGGGGGTGAGGGCCACGGCGGTTGTCAGCACCTTGCTCCAGTCCCTCGCGGCCCAGGTTGACTCTACACCTCCCAAACAGCTTTGAGCATACAGCCAGGGCAGCTACTAGAGCCCCAACCCCCGAGGAAGGTGGTGGGGGCTCGGGGAGCCTGGAAGCTGAGCCCTTCTGAGAAATGAGACAGTTAATGCAAAGCAGATGCAAACTCGGCCAAAGCAGAAGTGACTACGCAGCTGCAGGGCCCTGGTGGCTCACGCCTGCCAGCCCAGCTACTCAGCATCGTGTTCAAAGCCAGCCTGGGCGGGAAAGTCTGTGAGCCGCATCTCCAGTGAACCACAAAAAGCCAGAAGTGAGGCTGTGGCTCACACGTAGAGCCCTAGCCTCGAGCACAAAAGCTCAGGCCCAGAGTTCAAGCCCCAGAACTGGAGGCTTGGGCCTCTGCCTCCTGGTCCAGGATCAGTCCCTTGTGTGCCTGGCCTCCCTGTGGTTTCTAGAGGCAGAAATGGAGGCTGAGGGAGGGAGAGGACTTGTCCAAGGTCGCCCAGTGTGGTGCAGTGAGGTCTGTCCACCATATGGGTTCAGGGAAGTTCAAACTAAAGTGTGAATGACTCATAGGTGCCACTCAGCCATGGTGACTTATTTTTTTTAAGAGAGAGAGGGTCTCACACTATGGCTTCAAACTCCTGGCCTCCAGGGGCCCCTCTGCCTCTGCCGGCTGAGTCGCTGGGATTACAGATGTGTGCCGAGACACTGGGCTCCAAATGGCTGTCTGGCTTTATTTATTTTTAATCCCAGGCCCAGAGCACATTAGAGGGGTTTTTTTTTTGTTTTGCTTTGTTTTTTCCCCTGGTTGTGGGGCTTGAACTCAGGGCCTGGGTGCTGTCCTTCAGCTCTTCAGCTCAAGACAAGCACTCTACCACTTGAGCCACAGCGCCACTTCCGGCTTATGTGGTGCTGAGGAATCGAACCCAGGGCCTCATGCATGCAAGGCAAGCGCTCTACCACTGAGCCACCTTCCCAGCCCCCATTATTTCTTATGTATTTCTTTTATTTGCAAGAGAGTATCTGCCTGTAATCATACTGCCTGGCCTGAACTCCAGATCTCTTCTCTGTCTCCTGAAAGCCGGGTCACTGCCTGAGCCCCAGGCCTCTAAGAGGTTTATTTCTGTATCATTGCCCCAAAGTCACAGTTTTGGGGGACCTAGAGAAACCTTTTCCCCATTGAGTGGGTGCCGGCCTCCACCATTGCCAGCTTCCAGTTTTTCAAGAGGAAATTGAAACGACCTTGGTGTAAAACTCAGTCACTATCTCCATTTTAGGGAAGGAAGAGGCCTCATGTGGGGGTGTCGGGAGAGGGAGTGAATTCCTGCCTCCCCCGGGGATCTGGGCTCAGCTGAGAGCGCAGGGCACTGCCCTTCCCGCCATTTCTCCAATTGTAAACCCCAGGGCAACTCAGCTGCCCTGATCTTTCTAAAAGCTCCTGCATTTGTGGCCTGGGGTGTGACTCTCGCCGTGAAGTCCGGCCCAGCAAGCTTAAACCCTGAGTTCACAGCCTAGTACTGAGCCTGGCTCCAGGGCTCATGCCTATAGTCCCAGCTTCTCTGGAGGCTGAGATCTGAGGATTGAGGTTCGAAGCCAGCCTGGGCAGGGAAGTACCCATGAGACTCTTATCTCCAAGAACCACTAAAAAGTCAGAAGTGGCACTGTGACTCAACTCATAGAGCTCCAGTCTTGAGCAGAAAAGCTCAGCGGCAGTGCCCAGGCCCCGAGTTCAAGCCCTAAGAGTGCCAACATGAAAGAACACACAATCCCAGGCTGGGCAGGCGCTCAGTGCAGAGCGCTCTGCTCCGCTCGCATGCATGAGGCCTTCGGTTTGATTCCTCTACACCACATACACAGAAAAAGCCGGAAGTGGCACTGTGGCTAGAGCATTAGCCTTGAGCACAGAGAGGCTCAGGGACAGCGCCCAGGCCCCAAGTTCAAGCCCCAGGACCGGGGGTTGGGGGGCAATCCCTGAGGAAGGTGCGGCCTGGCACTGGGTGGCACAGTGAGCCCCCTTCCCTCTCTGGATCTCTGTCCCGGCTCACCCCTTGTCCTCACAGGGCTTCTGAGGACTGCGACTTCTACGTGAACTACGAAGGCCCCAGCGCCGACGCCCAGGCCGTCTACTGCAACCTGGAGTCCCTGGGCCGGGCCCTGAGGGATGAAGAGGAGTACGTGGCTCCCAGGCACTGAGCTCGTGGCCGCGGCCCTGCTGCCTGCGTGGGCCCCGGGGAGGGCCCGGCTGAGGGAGGCGGGGAACGGGGCGCGGCCCCGCGCGGCTGCGCAGCTGGACGGAGCTGCGGGCCCCGGCAGGGGACGGCACCCGGGAGGCACGGCCCGGTGTCCCACAGACCGAAGGGCGGCGCCTGCGCACAGCCCTGCGCCCCAGCCCCCGCACCCCGTCCCGGGTCAGTGAGGCCGGGCGCGGAGACCATCTGTTTAGCTTCAACTTTATTACAAGAATAGAAATAAATAGACGTCCTGCGTGGACACTAATAAATTAGTAATAAATAGACAAAAATCCGCGTGGCCCTAGGCCCGCATGGGTGCGCGTGGTTTGCACACGCGTGTTCGCATAGACGCATGTGGGCGAGCACGCAGGTGTGCGCACGGGAGATGTGCACACACGGAGAGGCGCGCGTGCGCGGGGCGGGGGGCAGAGGTCGGCGCGCAGGCGCGGGCCGCTCATGCGCAGTGGCAGCTCCTGGGGACGAGGTCGTGGAAGGTCCTGAGCGCCACGCCGCCGTCCTCGGCGCGGAGAGCGAGGACCACCGGCTCGTAGTCGGCGGGGACGCAGCAGGGCGCGGGCACGGCGTCGGGCCGCAGGCGGTGCAGGCGCGCCTTGGCCTGCGCGTGCGCGCCGGCGGGCCGGTACCGCGCGGGACACGCGCCCGCGCACACGCGCAGCTGCAGCTCCGGCGGCGACAGCAGCCAGTCGGCCCAGCCCAGGTCCTCGGGCGCCGCGCGCACCGCGTGCAGCCGGCAGCAGCGCCCCGCGCCCAGCGGGCAGTCGTCGCGCCGGTGCGCGTGCGCGCTGCGGCGGCCCCTGGCGGCGCCCGCCCGCAGGTGCGGCTGCGCGGGGGGCGCGGGGGGCGCGGCGGGACCCGACGGGCGCGGGCGCGGCGCGGCGCCCCGGGGCCCTCGGAGGCCGGGCTCGCGCTGCGGAGGTCTCCTCGCGTCCCTCGCTTCGGGCGCCGTCGGGGAGGAGCGGACCAGCGCCCGGTGCGCACCGTAGGCTGCGGGGAGGCCGCGGGTCAGAGGCGCCGGGGGGATGCGCGGCCGCAGGTGACCGTGGGACCCGAGCCGCACTGCGGGAAGAGCAGAGGGAAGGGCCGGTGGTTGGCCGCGCCGCGCGCGCGCCCCGGGGCCCTCGCCCGACCCCGCCTGCCCCGGGGGCGCCCCCCCGCCCGACCCCGCCTGCCCCGGGGGCGCCCCCCGCCCGACCCCGCCTGCCCCGGGGGCGCCCCCCGCCCGACCCCGCCTGCCCCGGGGGCGCCCCCCACCCGACCCCGCCAGGTCCCGGCCCAGCGCCCAGCGCCGGACCGCGGCCCGGTACCGCGAGTGAACCGCCCACGCCCCGGGCGGGCCCAGAGATGCCCATGCCCGGGGCACTGGGGCCGCCGCCCGAGGGGTCCGGGAGGCTGACCGCGGCCGGCGTGGGTCCCGGGGCTGTTGGTGGGACCATAGACCCACGGGCGGGGCCTAAGCGGGGAGGAGACTCGCACTGCTGGGGGCGGAGCCCTGCGTGAAGGGGCGTGTCCGGGGCGTGGTCAGAGATGACTTGGGTGGTGCCAGTGTCGGCAGCGACAGGGCCAGCGCCGGCGGGGGCGGGCCTGGCGAGGGCAGTCCTTCCTGGGGCGGGGCCAGCGCCGGCGGGGGCGGGCCTGGCGAGGGCAGTCCTTCCTGGGGCGGGGCGGGGCCGTTTGGGGGCGGGCCTGGCGAGGGCAGTCCTTCCTGGGGCGGGGCGGGGCCGTTCGGGGGCGGGGCGATGGCAGGCCGGCCCCGCCCCCTGGGCCCAGCCTCTCCCCATCGCCCGGCACGAGTCTCGGGGTCTGGGCCGGCGATTGCGTCAGATCGGGAACCGGCTCTGGCGGGTTCTTCCCACCGCTCGCTCGCCGCCAGCCCCTCCTCCCACCCGGAACCCCCCCCGCAGCCCCCGCGTCCCCCACCGCGTTCCGGCCGGGCCTCCCTCCCCGGACCCGCTCTGACACCCCGGATTCGCGCGGCCCGGCAGGGTCCCCCGCGGACCCGAGCGGGAGCAGGATGCCCGCGCCCGGATGCGGGCCGGGCACGGGGCTCCCCGCGGCGGCACTCACGTTCCGGGGCGGGCGTCCGGGCGGCCTGCGCGTCCCCGTCCTGGCGGGTCCGCACCGGGTCCTGGTGGCGCCTCCGCAGGTCCCGCGCACGGGCTGCGGGCGGCCGGGCGGCCCCGGGCGGCGGCCACGCGAGCGCCAGGAGCGCGAGCAGCGCGAGCAGCGGCGGGGCGGCGGGGGGTGCGGGGCGCGCGGGCATGGCGGGCGGCGGGGCGCGGGCTCGGGCTCCCGGCTTCGGTACCCGCCGGCCCGCCCCGCCTTTATAGCGGCCGGACTTTGCCCGCCCCGCCCGCCGCCCGGTGCCCGGGGCGGGGAGTCCCGCACTCTGGGGGAGGGCCGGGAGGGGGGCGGGCGGACAAGCTTGGGCAGGTCCCGGAGAGCGGGGTTCGTCTGCGGAGACGGGGCGACGCGGGCGGGGCGGCTGTGTCCGGAGAGCTCCTACTCCTTCGGCAAAGCCTCTTCTCGGGGCGCCCACCGCCCGGCTCGGGCCTCGGCCCGGGAGGCCCAGGCCAGGGGCGGGGACGGGCTCGGGGGCGCTGGCCGTGGCCGTGTCACCTGAAAACCGACGGCGACCTGAGTTCAGTCCACGGGTCACAGCCGGGGCGCCCACGCCGCGCGTGCAGCCTTCGGGGTGCGGAGGCCTGAGGGGTGGAGAGCGGGAGCCTGGGGGGTGGAGGCCTGGGGGGTGAGGCCGGGGGCGCGGGGGCCTGGGGGGTGGAAACCGGGTTTGGGGTTCAGGGCCCAGGGCCGCCGGGCGGAGCGGCAGCACTTGGGGGGCGGGGCGCTGCGGGGCGGCGCGCGCCGAGGCCGCCGCCGGGTGTCCCCAGGTCCGGGAGCCTCCCGCACCCGCGCGGGATCCGGGCGGCGCGCGCCCCCTGGCGGCCGCTCGGCGCCGCTGCGTCCTGCGCCGGCCGGGCCTCGGCGGGACCCAGCGCGAGGGCGGGGACGGGGGGCGCCCCCAATGGCCTGGGCCCCTCGCCATCCCAGGACTGGTCACACCGTCCCCCCAGCGCCGCGGCCTGCATCCAGGCGCCGGGTCTCGACGGCCTCGGGCCTCCGGCAGCGCGCTCCGCCGCCCCGCCCCGCCGCCCCGCGGGCTCCTGCCCCCCCCCCCAGCTTCCCAGGTTGGCTGCGCGTGTCGCCGTGGGAGCGCAGGAGCCGCGGGCGCTGCAGAGACCAAGGGGAGGCCCCTGGCGCGCGCGGTGATCAGGCCGCCCGCGGTGATCAGGCCGCCCGCAGCGAGGCCCGTGGCCCTGGAGGTGAGGGGCCGCCCCAGCGGGCAGCGTCACGGCCAGCCGGCCTCGTGTGGCCTAGGAGAGCTGGGGGGGGCGCTTCTGGAACTGCCTCCGCGTCCCAACAGACCCGGCACTCGGCAGGGGCGCTCCACGCCTCCCCAAGCCTTTATCCTTGTGCCCATCTTGGGGCTTGAACTCAGGGCCTGGGCGCCGACCCTCGAGGCCTGCGAGCTACCACTTGAGCCCAGCTGCGTTTCCACTTTGTGGCGGTGCGCTGGAGTCCAGTCTCCCCTGACCACGCAGACGTCACCGTCCTCAGCTCTCGCGGGGGAGATGCCGGGCATGGGCCGCTGGCACCCGGCTGGTTTTGGTTTTCTGAGCCAGGGTCTCCACACACAGCCACAGCTGGCGAGGAGCTCTCCCCACTCCTGCGGCGGCTCAAGCCCGGGAGCCGCGGGCCAGCCCGCCCACCCCGGTCCCACGCGCTCGTTTCCCTGGCTGTGGAAGGCTCCACCTCACGCCCCAAGCACAGTCGCTGTGCCCCAAAGCTGTCGTATTCATTTTGTCCACAGACTTTTCTGCAAGGACATGAGGGTCACGGGGAGGCATTCCCCTCCCCCTGCCGGAAATTTCCACTTCACCACACTGGAATTTGGCAAGTGGCCAGCTGGGCCTCTGCTTCCCAAAATGTTTTGCCTGTGACGTCAGGGCAGCCCCGTGCCTCTCTGGGCAGGGCGGACACACAGAGCGGGCCTCCAGCCAGCCATGACCTCACCCCCAGGCCTCCCTGGGGCAGAGGCAGCCCATGACCATCTGGCCACCAGCAGGCCAGGTGGGGACGCTGCCTGCCCTCAGCAAACACTCGTGTGACTAAAGCTTCCGGGAGAGCGCAGGGCCCCACGAGAGCCCCGGCACGCAGCCCCTGGGGTCGCCAGGCAGTGCCAGAGCCGCGTCTGTGTAGAAGGCCGCTTCTAGCTGGGCCTGGGGCCGGAACTCGGGGCCTGAGCACTGTCCTTCCTGAGCTTTTGTGCTCAAGGCTGGTGTTCTACCACTTAAGCCGCTCTGCTTCTGACTTTTGCTTTGTTTTTGTTGTTGGTCGTGGGGCTTGAACGCAGGCCTGGGCACCGTCCCTGTGCTTTTCAGCTCAAGGCGAGTGCTCTACCGTTTGAGCCAGTGCTACTTCTGGTTTTCTAGTGGTTTATTGGAGATAAGAGTCTTATGGACTTTCCTGCCCAGGTTGGCTTTGAAATGTGATCCTCAGATCTCAGCCTCCTGAGTAGCTAGGATGACAGTCATGGGCCACCGGCTCCCAGCTTTTGCTTCTGACTTTTGAGTGGTTCACTGGAGATAAGAGCCTCACAGCCTTTCCTTTCTGGGCGGCCTCCAGCAGCGATCCTCAACTCTCAGCCTCCTGAGTAGCTGCGGTGCCAGGCTTTGGCCAGCCTCTCAGTGCTGAGGCAGGCGGCCTATAGCAGGAAGGGTTTGTCTTTGTGGCCCCATGGTAAGTCCCCCCCCCCCCCCCCGTACCAGCCCTGCACAGGGTGGGGGAGCGGGGGCCAGCAGGATGCGTCCACTGCCTGGTGGTCAGCAATCACAGAGACAAGAGGCGGAGACGCAAGTCCCCATGTCACGTCCCCCCAGGCTTAACACTTCCTCCTGCCACGTGTCCCAGCGCGGGCCAGACCACCGCCTGACCGCGGGGCCATGGGCAGACGGTGAGCACAGGGCCAGCCCTCGAGCCACAAACAGAGCTGGTGCAGACCATGGGCTGTGTGCTCAGAAACATCGCGCTGCAGTCCGGCCCTCGCCACGGGCTGGGCCCACACCACGGCTGTGGCCTGTCCTCTGCTGACACCAGGGAGACCTCAGAGGTTCCAGAAGCGTCTCCAGCTTCCGTGAGGAGCATGATTTTCCTCCACCTGGTGTAACCTCGCAAGGCGCTGACGGGTGTTTGCATGCACGAGATCGGGCTGGGGCCGGTTGGAGGCCGCGGGGTCCCCCCCTCTTCCTGTCCTGGCATGGGGGGCTGTGTGGCCAGCCGTGACCTGTGACCCAGTGGGGCAGCAATGGTGACTCAGCAGAACGGGAGTGGAGGAGGCCCTGGCGGCTGCTGGGCTGGGCTGGCAGGAAGTGGATCAGCTGAGGCACGTCATGCGGCCCCCGGGTCCCCCCAGCTCCCCCACCCCCCACCAGCCCGGCGCCCATCACGTGCCCTCGAGTGCCCGGCCAGGCTGTGCCCGTCCCTGGGGCGGCCGGCTAGGGCCACCCAGGCCCCGCAGCCAGCGTCTTCCCCAAGCCCTGGGGTTTTGAGGGGTGTGTAGGTTACAGGTGACATTTTTTGTTTTTGTCAGGCATGGCGCTTGAACTCTGGGCCTGGGCACTGTCCCTCAGGTCCTCAGCTCCAGGCGAGCGCTCTACCACTGGAGCCACAGTGCCACTTCAGAGACGTGTTTTTTGGGAGAGAGGACGGGGTCATTAGAAGTGAAGGAACAGGGCTGTGCCTGTGTGTGCGCATGCCTCTGTGCGTGTGTGCCTGTGCATGTTATGTGCCTATATGTGTGTCTCTGTGTGTGCACATGTCTGTGTGCATCTGTGTGTGTGCACATGCCTGTGTGCGTGTGGGCCTGTGCCTGTGTGTGCGCATGCCTCTGTGTATGTGCATGTGTCTGTGTGCATCTGTGCGTGTGCGCATGCCTGTGTGCGTGCGCGCATGCATGCCTGTGTGCATGTCTGTGTGTCTGTGCCTTGTGTGCACGTGTCTGTGTGCATCTCTGTGTGCACATGCCTGTGTGCGTGTGCGCATGCATGCCTGTGTGCATGTCTGTGTGTCTGTGCCTTGTGTGCATGTGTCTGTGTGTGCGCATGCCTGTGTGCGTGTGCGCATGCATGCCTGTGTGCATGTCTATGTGTCTGTGCCTTGTGTGCACGTGTCTGTGTGCATCTGTGTGAGTGCATGTGTGCACATGTCCTGGGTGCTGTCCTCTGCCTTTTTGGCTCAAGGCTAGAGCTCTACCATTTGGGCCAAGCTCCACAAGGGCTCCAGGAACCCCCTGCCCCCTCCAGGCAGCTTTCTTTCCTTCTGGCCTGGGGGCCGCTGTTCCTTGCTGCACCCCAGCCTAGGGCTCTGAGGGAAGATCCTCCGTGGCGCAGCCTCCCTGCGGGCCCCAGAGCCGGCACAGGGCCAGGCCTCCATGGGGCGCTGACAGGACACAGCCGCCTGGTCCTGGAGCCTGTTGTGAAGGGCACAGCTGGGCCGGCAGGGGGGCCGCGGGGCCCTGCGGCTTGTGTGCGTCCTGGTGCCATCCCAGCACCGCAAGAGAAAAGCTGAGCAAAGTGTCTGCACCCCAGGGGGCAGAGAGCGGGAGAAGGAGGCTCAAGGCCGACCCCACGTCATAGGGCATGGTGGGGATGCCTGCCCCTGTCACGCAGGGGGCGTGCTCAGCCGGCCAGCGCCCACATTGGACACTGCTGGGCAGGGCTGGAGCCCCGGGTGGGGGCTGGGGGGCACAGCAGAGCCCAGCAGCATGCAGAAACATGTTCCCTGGGCGGCCACTTGCTTTCAGGGCACAGCTGCGTCCACGTTGCACTGCGGATGACGTCACAAAGTGCAGGCACCAAGGACCCCGCCCAACGTTTTATTGCTTTCCAGAGTCAGGTTTGGGGGTCCCCACGGCTGGGCCCCCGGGTGTCTGGGGCCCAGGGCTCCCAGACAAGGCACTGGCAGGTTTAGGGGTGAGAGGCCGGGCCCTGGGTTGGGGACAAGGCACCTTCAACAGGGAGGTCTTTTCCCAGAGGGGAACTGAACACATTGACACTGAGGGGGTCTCCAGAAACAAGCCAGGCCCCAGTCAGGCAAGGGCCCCTCCCCCCAACACTAGTTGTCACCCCACAAAGGCCCAGATGTCCACAGCCACCTGAAGCCAGCAGGGGTCCAGGTGCTCTGTGTGCAGGACGGGAGTGGGTGGCAGCATTTTGGGGTGTCCAGGGCGGTTTGGGGGACAGCATCTTGGGGTGTCCAGGGCAGTCTGGGGGGGAAGCATCTTGGGGTGTCCAGGACGGTCTGGGGGGCAGTGTCTTGGGGTGTCCAGAGCAGTCTAAGGGGAGCAGGGAAAGGAGGGCAGAGGTGGGGGGAGAGGAGGAGGGGAAAGGGAGTGTTGCTGGTTCCCTCCAGGGACCAGCTATCCCCAGGAACTCAGACAAAACATCTTCCTTCTGCGTCTGCAGCCACTCAGCCCTTGGTTGGGGGCCGGGGGGCACCCCAAGTTCCAGCCTCTCCACCAGCCACCAGCCTCCTGCAAGCTCTCAGCCTCTCCTTGGCCCAGAGCCCCAACCCCAGCAGGCCCTGCCCCCATGACCTGGCCTGCCAGCCACACCCACCGGCCCTGCCCACACTACAGGCCCCACCCATGTCCACTGGCCACATCCTGGCAGCCTGCCCGGCCACGCCCACAGGGAAGACCCCGAGTACTCGGGACCCCTCTGCTGACCCAGGCCCTGGACACAGGGATCCATGCAGACCAGAGCCGGAGAGCCTGGGGAGGGACAGGCCGCAGGCCGTGCACCCCAGGATGCCTGAGGGCCCCCCCAGCACATGGGCTAGGACAGCCAGTGGCCACCCGGCGCCTGGTACACACCTGTGGCCCCCGAACTTGGGAAACAGGATGGCAACTCCCCTCCTAGCTGCAAAGAACAGCCCTGGGGCGTCCTGGGCTCTCCCTGTCCCCACATCCAGGCCCCGGGGTGTCCTGAGCAGGCCGGCGCTGACTGCTGATGCGAGGTGCTGGGGAGGTCTGTGTCTCTGGTCCAGGTGTTCTCAGGAGACCCCAGGCAGGGACAGAGGATGTGGAGGGAGCAGAGCACGGGACGGCAGGCACCTGGCCACCACTGCGGAGTGAAGGCCCCACCACACCAGCTTTTCCCACCAGGATGAACACAACACCGAAGAAATGGCTCAGAAACCCATGAAGAGCAGGTACCAAGGGCCACACTGCAATCCCCACTGCTCAGGAGGCTGAGGCCCCAGGATCACAGTTGGAGCCAGTTGGCCAGCAGGAAGCCAGGCTGGAGGAAGAGACTCGGAGGAGACCAGGAGCGCGTGCCCAGTACGAGCATCTGCCTGGTCCCCGGCTGCACAGTGGGAGGGATGAAGCCGATGCCACGTGTGTCACACGTGGAGATGGGGTGGAGCTGGCGGCCACCACAGGGAGGGGCTCCTCCTGCCAGGGGGCAGACACTGACTCCAGAGTCCTGAAAGCATGTCTCCAAAACCACAAACATAAACCCCAGTGGCACTGCTTCTCCACTGGCCAGGCCCGCTGGCCGCACCTGCCCAGCTCCAGTCCACCCACACCAGGATGGGCAAAGACTGTGTGGGCTCCTCATGGCTTCCATTGCTACACCGCAGATAATTCACAGTGACCAGAGAGCTGTAGCCCGGCCTCGCCGTGACTGCCCATCAGGGCTAAGCCCCAAAGCTAATGTGCAGTCCAAAGTCCAGCTTTCAGGGCAGGAGGCCAAAGAAGAAGAAAGAAGGAGTAGGAGGAGAAAAAAGGCTGCACCGAAGAATTAGAAGAAGAAGAAGACAGAAAAGACTCTTGGTAAGCAGGCACTGTTGGCTCATGCCTGTCACCCTAGCAATTCAGAAGGACGAGATCTGAGGGCCATGGTTCAAAGCCAGTGCAGGCAGGTAGTAAAGCCATGAGACTCCTATCTCCACTGAATCACTAGAAAACCAGAAGTGGCGCTGCAGCTCACAGTGCTAGAGCGCTCACCTTGCGCTGAAGAGCACAGGGACAGCGCCCAGGCCCAGAGTTCAGGCCCCACGACCAACCAAAAACAAAAAAACAAAAAAAAAAACTTGGAGCTGGCTCTTGCCAGTGCTTTCCCCAGGAGACCTAAGTTACTCTGCAGCCCAGAATGATGCTGTTGTTTGCATGGTGGCCGTTGGGAAGCAGGTGGATTGTGAGTTCCAGGCCAGCCTGGGCTGCATAGCAAGATCCTGTCTCCAAAAGAAGAGAGAGAAGGGGGGGGAGAGGAATGGGGGGGAGGGGGTGGCCGGAGCCATGGTGAGTTCAAGTGCAGCCCCAGGCTGAGTGAGCACTGGGGGTCTTTTGCGCAGTCTGGCGAGGCAGGGGCAGGGGCAGGGGCATGGACGGCCCGGCGGAGCGCGGCCGCCCTGGTGCCCCGCCGCAGTCCCGAGGGGGCAGAGGCGCCTGCGGCCGGGCCTCTGCGGTGGGCTCAGGGCCGGCGGCAGCAGGCCTGGCCGTCCGCGCGCTCCAGCACGCCCAGCATCTCCTCGATGATGGCCTGCAGCGCGCGGCCCAGCTGGCCCGCGTCGTAGGGCTTGCCCAGCGGCGGCACGTGGACGAAGGCGGAGCGCCCGTGGCTCCGGTACAGCGAGGTGTAGTAGGTGAAGTCGCACAGGTACCTGTGGCGGAGGCAGGGCCGGGGGTCGGACGCCGCGGGCCCCGGGAAGGCCCGGCCGCTCGGACCGACAGCCGGGCTGCCCACGAGACGGGGCTGGCCTGCCAGGCGTGGGTGACCCGCCCCGCCGGCCGGGCGTGGGCTCGCGCCCGTCGCCGGCTGTGCCGACCGCATCGGTAGACCTCACCATCTGAGGCCAGCTCCGGAAAGCAGAAGAGCGCGGGCCTCACCTGCGTGAGGTCGCTTCCAGAAAGGGGAGGCCCTCCCCGCCCACAGGGAGACGGGGCAGCCCCAGACCCGGCCCTGGGTTTGAACTAAGGGCCTTGTGCTGGCCCGCAGGCGCTCTACCGCGGGGCCACGCCCTCCGAGGTCAAGCCACGCCCCGGCACGTCAACCGGGCTGCCACGCCCCGGCAGGCCACGCCCCGGCAGGCCGCCACGCCCCGGCAGGCCGCCACGCCCCAGTAGACCACGCCCCACCAGGCCGCCACGCCCTAGTAGGCCACGCCCCACCAGGCCGCCACGCCCTAGTAGGCCACGCCCCAGTAGGCCACGCCCCACTAGGCCGCCACGCCCCGGCAGGGAGCTGCGCGCCAACCCTCACCAGGGATTTCCTGAGTTCGAATCCCGCATGGAACGCGGACTCGGCCCGGAGCCCGCCCGCAGGCCCACCGCGCCCACCTGCCCGCGTCCCTCGAGATGGCCACGGACACGCCGAGCCCCAGCGTGGTCACGCGCTCGCACACGGCGTCCATGTCGATGATGGAGTCGATGCTCTCGGGCCCGTCCTCCACGCAGCACTGTGAGCCCGGCCGGAAGCGGCAGTTGTCCAGGCCCTGGTAGCCTTTGTTGTGCCCGCACTTCTCCAGCGTGACCGCGGTGGCCATGCCCGACACGCCCACGTGCACCACCAGCTGCATGCGTGCGTGCGGGAGAGGCTCAGCACGTGCATGCACGCACACAGGCTCAGCGCACACGCGTGCATACACGGGCTCACCACACACACAGGCTCAGCACTCACATGCACACGGGCTCAGCACACACATGCACACGGCTCAGCACACATGCACACACACGGGCTCACGAGCACAGCGCACACATGACACGGGCTCAGCACACACGCATGCCCGGCCCACCTGGGGACTGTGCTTCTCCCACAGCGCAGGGATGAGCTGCTGCACTGTCTGGTACTCCACTGGGATCTCGTACACGTGCAGGTCCACATGGTCCCCCAGGCCCAGCTTCTCCAGCTCCTGGGGAGAAGCGGGGCCACACAGGGTCAGGAGCAACTTCAGGATACGGTGGGGTTCCGGAGCCGCACCTTGCCCCTCGGGGAGCAGGGCGCCCCAGCTGGGCCTGGGCACGCACACCCTCCCTCCTCTCCCCCCCCCCCTCCCGGGGCCTGGGCACGCCCACCCCCTCCTCAGGCCTCAGCACGCGCGCGCATGCACACACACACACACACACACACCCAGGGCCTGGGCACGCGCACCCCCTCCTCAGGCCTCAGCACGCACACACACCCCCCCCGGGGCCTGGCCACGCACATCCCCCCCTCCTCAGGCCTTAGCACATGTACCCCCCCTCGGCCTGGGCACACGCACCCCCCCCCCCGGGCCTGGCCACACGCACCCCCCCCTCCTCGGGCCTCAGCACGTGCACCACCACCACCACCACCCCGGGCGCCCCTGGAGCACCCAGCACAGGAGCAGAGAACACGTCATAAAAGGCTGGTGGTCAAACAAGCCCAACTTACACCTGGGCCAAACCAGACAGATGCTCAGCCCTGGGCGGCGCATGGCCTGCCTGGCTCCTTCACGGCCTGTGTAGTGCCTTTAGAAAGAGATCGAGGCCAGGAGCTGTTGGCTCACGCCTGGCCTCCCAGCCACTCAGGAAGCTGAGATCTGAGGATCTCACCAGACTCTGATCCCCCATGAACCACCAGAAAACCGGAAGTGGCGCTGTGGCTCGAGGGGGAGTGCTCGCCTTGAGCTGAAGAGGCTCAGAGGCAGCACCCAGGCCTTGAGTTCAAGGCCCAGGACTGACAGAGACAGCCATCTCCCAGTGCCACATCTCTGACTTGGATTGATTGAGGTGGGGTCTCATGAACTTGTCTAAGCTGGCCTTGAACCTGGGCTCATGTGATCTCCCCAGCTGGCCCGGGCGCTGCTGTGGTGCCCAGCACACATGCACGGCCTTTGGACTCTGCTCAACCCTGACTGGTAAGGAGCGGATGCGATTACCAGAAACGCTGAGCCAGCAGCAGGCAGATACCTATCCTTCTAGAACACAGCTGGTCAGCCCTGCATGCCAGGACGGGCTCCATGGAGGCCCGGTCCAGGCTGAGGGCTCGATAGGTCTCAAAGGCCTTCAGGGGCTGTGTGCTTCAGCCAGGTGCGTTCTCTCCCCTACCCAAGCCTGGGGTCCAGGTGTCACCGAGTCCACGGGCCAGGGGGCAGGGACGAGGTGCCATGGGGATTCACGCCTGCTCAGGAGTCTTCGGATGGACCGAGGCTATCCAGCCTCTCAGGGCCTCTGGGGACAGAGCTGGTGGCCACCAGGGGTCATCCAGAGTTTTTTTGTTTTTTGGTTGGTCATGGGGCTTGAACTCTGGGCCTGGGCGCTGTCCCTCAGCTCTTCAGCTCAAGGCAAGCGCTCTACCACTTGAGCCACAGCGCCACTTTCAGGTGGTTTGTTGGAGATAGAGTCTCACAAACTTTTCTGCCCGGGCTGGCTTTGAACCGGGATCCTCAGATGTCAGCCTCCTCAGTAGCTAGGATGCCAGGCGGGAGCCACCGGAGCCTGGCTGGTTTTGGTTTTTGGCTCTTCTGGCACTGGAGATGCAGTCGCTGGAGTCACAGGCATGGCGTGGCGTGGCCGCTGGGCCCAGCTTCCTCCGCTGCCTTTCTGTGCTGAGGCATCGTGTCTCCAGACAGTGGTGGGCTGCTTCCTTCTCACGTTGGACAGGGGCAGCCGAGTCTGGGTGAGGACAGCAGCAGCCGTGTCCCGCGGCCCCCACGGAGCTGCGGATCTCCAAAGATCGCTGCATTGATTTCACTCTGATTTAGATGCAGACGGCAGTGCCTGGGCCCCGGACGGCAGACGGCGGCTTTGTGTGCACGCGGCCCGTGAAGCCTCCTGTCTGACTTGCACAAAGCCACATACACAGGCTTGGGGATCACGCTGCTTCTTTTTGTCTGGGGCTCTGGGGAGCGGGGTGCACGCCGGGTCTGGCCACGCTCCATCTCCAGGGCCACAGCTCCCCCATCCTGCTCCCAGGGTTGCAGGGGGCAGGGAGGGGGTGCAGTGTTTACAGTGCCAGACTTTCAGTTCGGCTTCTCCTCCCTGAGTCTGGGGCGGGCCGGGCACTTTAAATCAGGCTGCTGATGGCGAGGATTAATCAGGGCTGGGCTGTGGGCTGATTTATAGGAGGAGGAACCCCCAACGCTCTCTCTGCCCTTTGTTCCCTGGTCCCCTTTCCAAAGTCCCAGCTAGGAGGACAGTGGAGGGTCTGGCAGACAGCTGGGAAAGACCGGCCCTTCTCCCCATCTGACCAAAGCCCCTGTCCAACACGAGCAGGGCGCCTTCCAGTTCCTCCTGGTCACAACCAGGCCTGGAGGAACTGGGGAAGCGCGTAGGAAATAAAGAGTGGTTCTGTATTTGAACAACTCCTAGGTAAAAGCCAGTCCAAGGGAGGATTCCTTGGAACCCCTCCTCTGCAGCCCGGCTGCTGGGTCTCCAGGAGCCGTCCCCCAGGCTCGGGGCCCAGGTTTCCACACCTGTAGAATGGGTACAGCTCCCCCGGCCACCATGCAGAGTTCCAGCATCGAGACACAAAACCCACAAACGCTTGTCCATGGGTCCTGGTATTTTGGGGGCCCCCAGAGCCTCGGTTACCTGGACGGCAATCCAGCTGGCGTTCACAGTGTGCTCCCCGAAAGGGCCGAACCCTAGAACACAGCAGAATCAGCACGTCAGCCATGCCCACCGCCCTGCGGGGGAGGCGGGGGGGGGGGGGGGGGGAGGTGGGGAGGGGTCCCCAGCGGCCCTGCTCCCACCGCCTCTCCCCTCCTCCCCTCCAGCTCACCCTGGACAGGCCCCAGAGAAAGTGGCTTGTTCCTCTACATGTCCTCTGGGACGCTGGCCCAGCCCTGGCTGGCGGAGGGGGGGGGGCTCTTGGACTCTGGGATCCGGGGCCCCGGAGCCCCGCACGCTGTGAATCTCCCCACCATGCCGCCTGCACCCGGCACTCAGAGGTGCGTCCTGGCCCAGTGGAAATAGCAGCACAGAGAGCCTCAGCCCTGCCTGGGCCACACAGAGGGCGCGGAGCAGGGACGCCTTCTCCTCTCTGATCCTGACAAACCCCTCCGCGTGGCTCCCACCCCGACCCCACTACTCCCGGGCTGAGAGCTAAGGGACAGCACCGGCCCTGAGGTCAGGCCTCGGTACCAAAACCTAAACCAAACGGCACCGGAAGGCGGACGCGCTGCGGGGATGGGCGCTGGGCCCCGGGGCAGCGGATGATTTAATCACCCCACTGCGGCCTTTCCCGCAACCCCTTCGGGCCCACGGGACCTGTCCCGCCCGCCAGACCTGGCCACCAACCTCCACTGGAACCTGGCAACTGTCCATGTGACCCCCTGGGGGAAGAGGTCAAGGCCCCCAGCATGCTGACCCCGAGGCCAGGTCAGGGCGCCCCCCCCACGCTGACCCCGAGGCCGGGTCAGGGCGCCCCCCCACTGACCCCGAGGCCGGGTCAGGGTGCCCCCCACGCTGACCCCGAAGCCGGGTCAGGGCCCCCCCACGCTGACCCCGAGAACAGGTCAGGGCCCCCCCCACGCTGACCCCGCGGCCCGGTCAGGGCGCCCCCCCCCACGCTGACCCCGAGAAAGGGTCAGGGCGCCCCCCCACGCTGACCCCGAGGCAGGGTCAGGGTGCCCCCCCACGCTGACCCCGAGGCAGGGTCAGGGTGCCCCCCCCCACGCTGACCCCGAGGCAGGGTCAGGGCGCCCCCCCCCACGCTGACCCCGCGGCCTGGTCAGGGTGCCCCCCCACGCTGACCCCGAGGCAGGGTCAGGGTGCCCCCCCCCACGCTGACCCCGAGGCCGGGTCAGGGTGCCCCCCCACGCTGACCCCGAGGCCGGGTCAGGGCGCCCCCACGCTGACCCCGAGAACGGGTCAGGGCGCCCCCCACCACGCTGACCCGAGGCAGGGTCAGGGCGCCCCCACGCTGACCCCTGGAGGAAGAGGTCAAGGCCCCCGCGCTGACCCCGCGGCCGGGTCACGGCGCCCCACCCTCGCCGGCGGAAGGGGCCCGGGAGTCGGTCTCGGGAGTCGGTGACAGCCGGCGCCGGGCTCGGCCGCCCACGGCCGGGCAGCAGCGTCCCGGGAACCCCGGCCCCACGGCCCGGAACCGCTCCGCGTCCACGCAACCCCGGGAGCGGAGGCCGCCCCTCCGTGCCCGGAGGCTTCCGGCCCGCAGGTCGGCCCTCGGCCCCGGGGCCCCGGGGCGGGGACGGCAGCGGCTTGGGGAGGCTCCGCGCCCGCCCCCAAGCTCCGGCCCGGGCCGCGCGAGGCTCCCGCCGGCCGTGACATCCGCCCAGCCGAGGGCCGCTCGGCGCACCGGCCCCGTCCACCGCGTCGGCCCCGGCCCGCCCCGGCCCCCGGCCGCCACGCACCGGTCACCACCACCGCCTTCCTGGGCTGTTCCATGGCCGGCCGGTTGCGCCTCCGACCCGCAGGCTAACGGACTGGCCCGGCCGGGGCCGCCGCCGTCGGGGCGCCGCCAAGCCCCGGCGCCCCGCCCACGCCTGGCCCCGCCCCTAGCCCCGCCCCGGCGGGCTCTCGGCGCGCGCGCGCCACCCAGGCCCCGCCCTCTGCCGGGCGCCGGGCGCGCGCGCCCCCGCTAACAACCAGACCCTGCCTGGCTGGGCTGCGAGCCCGGGCCCCGCCCACCGCGTCGCTCAGCGTGCGCGCCCCCGCGGAGGCCGGGCCCCGCCCCGGCGGGCTCTCGGCGCGCGCGCCCCCGCTAACAGCCAGACCCTGCCTGGCTGGGCTGCGAGACCGGGCCCCGCCCACTGCGTCGCTCAGCGTGCGCGCCCCCGCCGAGGCCGGGCCCGGTCCCCCGTCGCGTGCGTCCCGGCTGAGGCCTCGGCGCCCGCCGGACGCGCGCGTCCTGACTGGTTTCCCCGCTCGGGCCCCATCCCCGGAGCCCGAGTCACTCCTCGCGGCTCCTCCCCGCGGCCGCCGCCCCGCGCGTCCTTCGCCGGCGGGGCGGGCTCTCCACGCGCTTCCGCGGGTCCCTGGACAACGCGAGCGTCCCGTGCCGGGACTGCGCGCGGAACACCTGAAGAAAACAGCCTCTGCTGTGTCCTTGGAGACCGGCTTGGACCTGGGCCTCGACGTGACGGTGTCCCGGACACCGGGGAAGGAAGCCCGCCCCAGCCCCCAAGGCCCGGGGCGGAGCGGCCGTCTGCGCGGGGCGCGGGGTCGGACCCGGGGAAACCTCGCCTTGGGGTCTGGAGCCCCACGCCGGGCCGCCGGCCGTCCCCACCCGCGGCCCCCATCACAGCCCGATCCGCGCTGGATGGAGAACTTCCCGGAACGAACGGCCCCAAAGCGTTCCCGAACACAGACGCCTCCGGGTCTCAGTCCCTAAAGACGGCAGGGTGGCGACTGCTCACAACGCCCTCCGGGCCGTGCCGGGCTCGCGGCCACCCCGAGGCAGCCGCTGCGGAGGCCGCGGCCCGGGAGCCCCGGCCCAGGCGAGACCCTGCGGGGTGTCAGGATGCGGCCCTGGAGCCAATCAGCTTGCGGGTTCCATAGTGTCTGGCGGGCGAATCAGCTTGAGGATGCCATAGCAAACACCGGTGGACCAATAAGCCTGCGGATACCATAGGAAACGTTAGACCAATCCGCATGCAGCTACCACACTAAGTGCGTGACGGGCCAATCAGCGTGCACATAGCATCCACTGTCTGGTGGACGAGGTGGAAACAGTGCTGGAAGCCCGCGGAGTCCGGCGCGGGGCGCTAGGCCGGGCGCTGGTGCGCATGCCTGTGATCCCAGCCGCTCAGGAAAGCCAAGGCGCCCGCAGAGCGCCGGAGGCGGCGCCGCGGCTCAAGTCGCAGGGAGGGGCTGGGAAGGAGGCTCAGCGGTAGAGTGCTCCCCCAGCATGCCTGAGGCCCGGGGTTCGATTCCACAGCCCCACACGCAGAAGAAGCCGGAAGTGGCGCTGTGGCTCCAGTGGTGGAGCGCTGGCCTTGGGCCAGAAGCTCAGGGACAGCGCCCAGGCCCAGAGTTCAAGCCCAGGACTGCACAAAAAAAGAACTAGAGTGCAGGGACAGCGCCCCCAACAGAAAGCCGCCCCCCCTCCAGCGCTGGCCTCGAACCCCACGCTCCTGACCTCAGCCCCCGACTTAATTTTCCTCAAGGAGTATTTCTTCGTTGGCTAGGTGCAAAGGAATTTAAACAACAGAACACCAGGAGCACATTTTATCACACAGGTGAGAGCGATCCCAAGTCAGGAATCAGCGCCTTGGCCAGCTGGCCCTTGTTTGGGGGCAGGGCTGGCGATGGACCGGACGACCCGGTGTCCAACACCTCCCAGCAGCACGGAGAGACCTGGCCTTTGCTCACGCCACCTGGGGCACACAGGCTCAAGGAACAGGGAAGGACAGGGCTGGAGCGGCAGGTGCAGCTGGATCCAGGACCCCGTCCAGCCCGGTGACTCACAGGAGCCGGCACGAGGCGATGTTTGTATCTGACTCATCGTGGCAGCTGCCCTCTGAGGGAAGCTCCCTACTGGCTGGGCTGGAGCCTGCCTGGGTCACATGTCCCAGACTGGAGTTGGGGGGGGACGGCGGTGGAGGCTGCCTGACAGCCTAAAATATAAGCCAAGCAAATCGGCCCACTCTGGCTTCTAAAGTTAGCTGGGAGGCGCGGGTCCGGGCTGGCTGCCTGCCGAGGCGGGAGTCGTGCTGGCAAAGCAGGGCCACATACATACGGGGGTCCAGGGCAGGAGGTGTTTACCTGGGCTCCTCTAGCTGCTCAAGTGGAGTAAGTGACACAACTTTTAGCACCCAGGATGTAGTTCAGTGGCTAGACCATGTGCCCTGAATGAGAAAGAGTCCTGCGTTCCATCCCCAGCACTGAAACAAAACCTTCTTGGAAATAAGTGGAAAGTCAAGAGGGTTCGGCTTCAGGTACGGCTGGGTCCAGGAGCCTGGGCCCTCCAGTCTCACTCCACCAAACAGCTTCGCTCCATCAGATTTCTGCAGAAAGCTTGGACCCGATGGCACTGGGCTTCCCCATCTCATCTGAGCAGCCCATGGCCTGCCTTGGCGTCCTGGGCTGGGCGGTGGAACTGGCCTTGTCGGGGCCCCGGCACCCCCTCCACAGAATCCCTGCCCCGGGGCACGGCGAGCTCTCCCAGAGGCGGGAGGATGCGGAGTTCCAGGCCGGCCTGGCCCGGGCTGGCCGGAGGGGTCCGTCTCAGAGGCCTGGCCTCCCCCCAAAACAGAACAAAGACTCCGAAGCTGCAGTGACGGGGACTGGCCACCGGGGGTCACCCTCGCAGAGGCTTCGGCTCCCTTTGAGCCAAAGGCTTTCCACCTAGAAAAGTCTAGCAAAGTCCTACGAGGGAGACAGGGACTTCCTCCCCCGCAGTGGCTCCCCCTGCCCTCATCCATCCTCTGAGGCACCCGGAGGTCCCCCGGGGCTCACCTCCAACTCTGCCATCCTCTGGGTGAGCCCCATCCTTATGAGGGGACGCTGACGGTCAGAGGCGTCCCCCCAGGGCCACCTGCATCCTGTGACCCAAGGGTGGCTTCCTGTTATCCTGCTCTTGGGTCTTTCTCAGACCTCAGGAGCCCATTCGACCACGGGGTGGGGGGGAAGGGCCCCAGGGACGGGTCCTGAGCTGGGACAGGTGGGACCAGGAGAGCAGATGGTCAGCCCCCCGGACCCTGGCTGAGGACGCCCGCCTCCCACCTCATCTGCTCACTAAACCCCGCGGGGACCCACCTGCCTTGTCCCAGAACCTCGTCGCCAGGGATTCCCAGTGTCCCCTCCTGAGTGATCCCGGGGCGGGGGTCCGCAGGGGGCTCCGGAGGCCAGGCAGCCTGCAGGCGCCCCTGGCCTCCCCGGTTTCGCTCCTGTGTGTGTGCGGGGCAGGACCCCAAGGCCTGGGCGCTGCCACTGAGCCTTTTGCTCAAGGCTGGCGCTCTACCGCTTGGGCCACAGCTCCGCTCCCCGCTTTTTGCTGGTCCATTGGATATCAGGGTCTCAGGGTCTTTTCCTGCCTGAGGCCCCGCATGAGGGGTACTACCGAGGCCCGACTGCAAGGCCGAGTGCGGGGAGACACAATGGCCCCGAGCAGCCCCCCAGGTCCTGGGGTGTCCAGCACATCTGGGGGCCCACCCCCAGGTCCCGGGGTGTCATCAGCACTTCTGGGGGCCCACCCCCAGGTCCCGGGGTGTCATCAGCACATCTGGGGGCCCACCCCCAGGTCCCGGGGTGTCACCAGCACTTCTGGGGGCCCACCCCCAGGTCCCGGGGTGTCACCAGCACTTCTGGGGGCCCACCCCCAGGTCCCGGGGTGTCACCAGCACTTCTGGGGGCCCACCCCCAGGTCCCGGGGTGTCACCAGCACTTCTGGGGGCCCACCCGCCCAAGGCCTCGTGCTGGCCAGAGGACTGGGCCATCCTCCCCCGGGCTGGGCGGCGCAGCCTCGCAGCCCCCGCACCCCCGGGCCGGTCCCGCACCCCCGGGCCGGTCCCGCACCCCCGGGCCGGTCCCGCACCCCCGGGCCGGTCCCGCACCCCCGGGCCGGTCCCGCAGGCCTGGCCGCCTGGACCCCGCGCAAAGCCCTGCGGGCCCCGCGTTCGCTCTCAGCGGCTTGTTACCCCCCGACTGCAGCAGCCCAACAATAACACAAGGAAAATTCCAGAAATGAGAGGAGACCCCGAAGCGGGCGGCCCCGCCCCCGAGGGCAACTCCCTAAACTGCGCACGCGCGCGCTCGCGCGTCCTTACCCACAATGCCCCCGGGCCGGCGCGCGCGGCTCTTCCGCCTTTGGCATCATCGCCGGCGCACTTTACGGCCCGGCGCACTTTACGGCTCTCCGCCTCGTTTCCCCCGGCCGGGAACCCGGCCTATGCCCCGCCCTCCTCCTCGGCGATTGGCTCTCCGTCTCGCGAGCCCCACACTGACTGGCTCGCGTGGCTGCCACTCCTTTTCGGCCTAGTGGCGCGTAACGCGGCGGCGGCGAGCCGCGGGAGCTTGAGCGGTGGAAGTGGCCGGGCCGCGCCGGCGACATGGTGAGGGCGAGGCGGCCGCTCGGGCGGCGCCGGGGGCGGGGGCGCTGGGGCGGGGCCCCGGCGGCCTCCGGCGGGGCGGGCGGCGCGGGGGCCCCGGGGCTCGAGGCGGGCGCTCTGCCGCCTGGCACCGCGCGCTTCCCGGTGGTCCGTGGGGACCGAAGGCCAGGCCTGTCGTGCCCGGGCTGGCTTCGAACCGGCTCCGCAGCCTGGGAGGCCGGGCCGTGACCCCCGCGGCGCCGGGCCCGGCCTCGGCCCTCCGCGGTGCGAGTAGTAGCTTACCCGGCCTGGGACAAGGCCGCGCCCAGCCGGGGCTGGCTGTCTCGCCCGCGACACCGTAAGCAGGGTCATTAGAGGTTGGCCGGGGCCTAACCCGGAAACGAGCGCGGGTCCCGCGCCGGTGGGGCCGGCGGGGGAGGGCAGCCCGGCGGGGCAGCCCCGCGGCCCTGGGCGTGGCTCGAGTCCTTCCCGCCGCGTTGTGCCCGCCTGTGCCGGGGACGGGGCTCCGGGCTCAGGCTTCCCAGCCGCGCTGCCCGGCGGTGGGCACAGGCCTCCCAGAGGGAGAGGCCGCCTGACCTCCGCAGGCCCAGCCGTGCCCCTGGCCCGCGTCTCACACCCCTGCTGCGGCTGGGGTCCGGGGTGTCCCCTCCCCCCAGGCTCCACAGGAAGAAAGCAGGTCAGCTGGGGTCAGGACCCCACTTGCTAGAAGGCCTTCTAGCAAGCTGTGCGCAGGATGTGGCTCAGCGCCGGCTTCCTGCCGACCTGGGCCTGGTGCTGAGCCTCTCAGAGGATCTGGGGGTGGACGGTGTCCCCTCCCGGGCCTGCCCTGGGCAGTCCAGGGCCAGGAGCTGCCGGGGAGGCAGAAGGACCAGGCGGAGCCTCAGCCTCGGCCTCCACCCAGCACCCAGAGGAGCACTGGACCCTCAGTAAAGTTTCTGCTCTTCACCCAGCTTGTGTCACAGCTGGGCTTTCTGGAACCTTCCTGAGTCTGGCCTAGGGGCCCAACTCACACACGGCTCCCACAAGCTGGGTTGGGTCTCTGTCCTGCATCCTTACCTCCACCTGGCAGGGTCCAGCCTGGGCAGGGGAGGGTTCCGGTGTGGAGCCTAGGGGCAGCTGCCGCCCTGGTGTAGATGGCTCCTGGGTTCCATGGGGTAGAGGAAGACACCGAGGTACCGGGGGCCGTGGGAGGCAGCCGGGCACTGGTTACAAGGAGTGGGCCTGGGGCCTGCTGGTGTCCAGATTTCTCAGGCCGGGGGTTTTCCATACACGCCTTGTAACACCAGTGGGGAGCCCCCACACCCAGGTCCACGCGTGGCACTGTCTGATGGCTTTCTGTGGCACTGCAGATGGGGGTGGACACGGCCTGGGGACACGGGACAGAAGGGACAGTGACCGTGGAGCCCCTGCTCCCCCTGGCCGGCGTCCAGCACCGGGTGGGTGCGGCCTGGAGCTGGGCTGGCCCTGACCCCTGTCTCCTTGCAGCTGCCCCTGTCCTTGCTGAAGACAGCTCAGAACCACCCCATGGTGAGTGGGCGCCCTCCTGCGTGTCCCTCCACGGCCCGGCCTGGGGCCCCAGGCACAGCCCACCACCCTTTACCACCCTCTCTCTCCTGCAGCTGGTGGAGCTGAAGAATGGGGAGACGTACAATGGGCACCTGGTGAGCTGCGACAACTGGATGAACATCAACCTGCGGGAGGTGATCTGCACGTCCCGGGTGAGTGTGCGTGTGTATGATCTGCACGTCCCGGGTGAGCGTGCGTGTGTGTGATCTGCAGGTCCCGGGTGAGCGTGCCTGTGTGTGATCTGCAGGTCCCAGGTGAGCGTGTGTGTGTGTGTGTGTCTGTGTGATCTGCAGGTCTCAGGTGAGCGCGTGTGTGTGTGTGTCTGTGTGTGATCTGCAGGTCCCAGGTGAGCGTGTGTGTGTGTGTGATCTCCAGGTCCCAAGCGAGCATGCATGTGCGTGTGTGTGTGATCTGCAGGTCCCGGGTGAGCATGTGTCTGTGTGATCTGCAGGTCCCAGGTGAGCGCGTGCGCGCGCTCGTGTGTGTGTGTGTGTGTGTGTGTGTGTGATCTGGAGGTCCTGGGTGAGCGTGTGTGCATGCGTGCGCACATTGCAGGGGGAGTGTGGGGTGGGAGGAAGGGCAGGGCGGCCCCACATTCACATGCCATGCAGCTGGCTTGGCTCACAGCCGTGGCTTGGTGTTGGGCGTTGGAGTGTTGCGGGGTCTGGGCTCCTGTGTGGCCCTTGCGTGAGGAGTGGGCAGTGCGGTGCCCCTGGTGCTCAGTGCTGCTCACAGCGCAGACCCCCGGGCAGGGGCCAAGGCCAGGCACCTGCTGACTGAGGCCTGGCGCGTGGCAGGATGGGGACAAGTTCTGGCGCATGCCTGAGTGCTACATCAGGGGCAGCACCATCAAGTACCTGCGCATCCCGGACGAGATCATCGACATGGTGAAGGAGGAGGTGGCGGCCAAGGGCCGTGGGCGCGGCGGCCTGCAGCAGCAGAAGCAGCAGAAGGGCCGGGGCCTGGGCAGCGCGGGCCGAGGTAGGTGGGAGCACCACTGGCCGGCATGCCAGGATCTGGGGGAGGGGGAACCACTGGCCAGTATGCCGGGATTGGGGTGGGGGGGACCACTGGCCAGCATGCCGGGATCTGGGGGGGGGGGGCACCACTGGCCGGCATGCCGGGATGGGGGGGGGAACCACTGGCCAGCATGCCGGGATCTGGGGGGGGGGAACCACTGGCCAGCATGCCGGGATCTGGGGGCGGGGGGGAACCACTGGCCAGCATGCCGGGATCTGGGAGGGGGGGAACCACTGGCCAGCATGCCGGGATCTGGGAGGGGGGGAACCACTGGCCAGCATGCCGGGATCTGGGAGGGGGGGAACCACTGGCCAGCATGCCGGGATCTGGGGGGGGGAACCACTGGCCAGCATGCCGGGATCTGGCGGGGGGGGGGCACCACTGGCTGGCATGCCAGGATCTGGGGGGGGCACCACTGGCCAGCATGCCAGGATCTGGGGGGGCACCACTGGCCAGCATGCCGGGATCTGGGGGGGCACCACTGGCCAGCATGCCGGGATCTGGGGGGGCACCACTGGCCAGCATGCCGTGATCTGGGGGGGGGACCACTGGCCAGCATGCCGGGATCCGGGTGCGGGCTTCGCCCTGCCCCAGGCTTGGTCTCCCTGTGTGGTAAAGGTCGGGCCGTAGGCAGCCGTGGGGGCTGGTGGCAGGGACCAGGCCCTGGGTGACGGCGGGGGGCACATGTCCCACGCTGGGTCTCTCTGACCCACGGTCCAGCCCCAGGGTGCTCCTCACGTCAGGGACCGGAGCACTGCAAGGTGGGGCTGAGCGTGGGGCACCCTTGGCTGGAGTGCCCTCGTACCGTGGCCGCCCAGGTGGGGTGTGCCCCCCCACCCCCGGGGGAGCCCCCACTCACCGTGCCACCCCACCCCCGTGGGGAGCCCCCACTCACCGTGCCCCTGCCCACAGGTGTGTTTGGGGGCCGGGGCCGCGGCGGGATCCCGGGCACGGGCCGCGGGCAGCCTGAGAAGAAGCCGGGCAGGCAGGCGGGCAAGCAGTGAGGGCGCGTCGGAGCCTCTGTGGGACCCTGTTTTCCTGTTTGAGCCCGTCTGCACCACGGGACCAGGGGTATGGCAAGTTTGCGGGCCCCCGCAGCAGAGTTTCTGGAACGTTCCACACGGGTGTCCGCGGGTATCTGAGCCCCACTGTGGTGGTGGTCATTCTCCTGTGGGAGCCACTACCTCCTGTGGCCGGCAAGGCCGGGTCTTTATTTTCAGCCGGTACCCCAAGACTGAGCCAGAAGCGTCCCAGTCACCCCAAGTTGCCTTCCACAAGCGCAGGTCCAGCCTGTACCTCTCCTTCTCTGTGGCAAAATAAAGCATCTATGTTGACTAAAGGGGGTTTGCTTTGCATATTTGTTTAGTGCCGGTCCTGAGCTCTGAGCTCAGGGCTGCATGCTGTTCCTTTGTCCCTCAAGGTTGCTCTACTGTTGGAGCCTCAGCTCCATTTATGGCTTTTCCGTGGCTCTATTGCTGAGTCTCAGGGTCTTTCCTGCCCAGGCTGGCTTTGTGCCGAGATCCTCAGATCTCAGCCTCCTGGGTCCTGGAATTATGAGCTGCCAGTGCAGTGCGTGGTTTTAATCAGACACGGCTAAAACAAAAGCTTTCTAAAATCAAAAGCAATGTTTTCCCCCACCATTATTATAAGTTGGTTCCCTGCCTGCCTCCTTCCAGGAGCGTGGGGGCCCGAGCGGGCGGGGGGGGGGGGGGCACATGGGTGTGGGTTTCCCCCGGTCTCAGCACCAGGTTGCCACGCGCGCTGGCCGGCCACCCCTGCCCAGCGCCTCTGCCTGGCAGGTTCCTGGTTCCAGGTCGGCCTGGGCCTGCTGGGAGCGTCCTGGAGGCCCTGCCTGCTCCCCTCTTTTTGTTGTGGTTGTCGGTCCTGGGTCTTGAACTCTGGGCCTGGGCGCTGTCCCTGCACTCTTCAGCTCAAGGCGAGGGCTCTACCACTTGAGCCACAACGCCACTTCTGGTTTTCTGGTGGTTTATTGGAGATCAGAGTCTCATGAACTTTCCTGACTGGGCTGGCTTTGAACCATGATTCTCAGATCTCAGCCTCCTGAGTAGTTAGGATGACAGGCGTGAGCCACCATCCTCAGCCCCTAGAGACAAGGCCCCAGGGCTGGCTCAGGCCCAGGCCAGAGGACCTGAGGATGCTGGTCAGCCTCCCCCGCCCAGGTCCCAGGGGCTGCCTGGGGCCACACACGTGGTGTCAGTGCCTGCAGGGGCTGCTCCGGGGAAGTGTGGAGGCAGCCACCTGGCCCCAAGGCCCTGCCAGCCCCTGCCCAGCGCCATGCAGGCGGGGTGGGGGGCCTGCACCGGGCCTCACAGGCAGTGCCCTGCCCTGTGCCCAGCTCACAGCCTGATGCCACCCGTTGGCCAGGCAGACACCCCACCCCCGGGCTGTGGGAGAGACGTGAGGGGGTGGTCAAGGAGGAGGGGGAGGGAGGCTCTGGGCTGGCTCCCTGCCCAGCAGGCTGGGTTCAAAGGTCAGCCCCACCCACAGCTGACCTCACCTCCCTCCCTCCCCCACTGCGTCCCAACCCCAGACGCTGCCCCTCCCCCTGGCCTCCGGGCCCTGGGCCCAGAGGCCGGGAAGGGTGGGAGGGGCAGGGGAGGCCCAGGCCTGGCCTGCGTCATCCCAGCCTCCAGCCCCCACCCTGGGCTGCGCGCAGGGTTCTGCCCCCTGCCCCAGGACAGCCCTGCTCTGAAGCCGGTTTCCAGAAGCTTCTGTGGGGAGCACAGGTCCCCTCTTCTCCCCCACTGGCTGCTGAAGGCCTCGGCGTCAGCCGGGAAACCGAAAGTGCAGCCACTTCCCCAACCTGGGCTTCCAGATCCTTCTGTCAGTGGGCCTGCCTGACACCAGACAGGGTCTCTTCCTGTCATTCGGGACCCGCCGCAGCCCAGGCCTGGCCCAGCCCCCACAGCCCTCAGCCTGTCAGACCTGGGGCTATGCCAACCCTCCCCCCCTGCCCCGCCCCGTGAACCCCTTGCGGTGAGCAGGGGGCCGGGAGACCCTGCTGTACCTGGCCATCAGAACGGACTGTGGGCCTTGGGGTCTGGGAACTCAGCAGCCGTCCAAAACCCTCCCAGCCGCCCCAGGGCCCAGGATGGAGAGGAGCTGGGTGACACCCCACCCCCAACAAGAACCCAGCGTGGGCCCGGCCCAGCCCCCGCTGGTTTTCTCCTGGGCTGGGAACTCTGGGAAGCACCCAGCCAGCCATGCCTGCCGGAAGAAAACTCGGAAAGCAGGAGGCCCCCCACGAGGGCCACCCCCTGCCTCAGTTTCCCGGCTGGCCCGTGGGGCTCGAAGCACCCCTGCTGGGGAGAAGCCGGTGACCATTTCCAGACCGCTGTGCCCACAGGAGTGCCCTCCGCGGGCACCCCGTGACCTCCTGCGTCCTCCTCGGCCTTGGCCGGCCAAGGGGCCCCGGCACCGGCCCCCCACCCCACACCTGAGCCTGGGGCCGCCTGACTCACCCGGGCCCAGCTGGCCGCCGCCCAGGGGCGGGCCGGGAAATCGCTCAGGCCGCATTCAAACCTAAAAATACCCATGCCCCCGCCAGCCACAGCCCCCAGCCCCCCTTGCACGCTCAGCAAACCCCGAGGCCTGGCCTGCAGGGTGCGCCGCCACCCCACACACCGCCACCCCACACACCGCCAGGCACGCCTGTCCCCTCAGCCATTCGGGAGGCGGAGAGCTGGGGATGATGGTTCCACGCCAGCCCAGGCAGCCGAGTCCATGAGACATCTCATCTAGCCTTGAGCAGAGAGCCCAGAGTCAGCGCCCAGGACCTGCGTTCAACCCCCAGCCCAGACATGTGCCTGAAGGGGGCCCCACCTGGGTCCCAGCGTCCCCCACTTGCCACCTCTCTCGCGAATCCTTTTCCCTCCCCAGTGGGTGGACTGTCCCCTCGGGCACCCAAGACCTCCGGCTGCAGGGAGCGACAGGTGCAAAGTCCCCGGGCCGGCACAGGCGGGCAGCGCTGGCACTGGCTGGTACCGGGCGCGTGCCGGGAGGGAGCCCCACCCCTCCTCCCGCAGGAAGGGTGACTCAGCGCCTGAGCTCAGCCACCTCCCTGACCTCCCAGCCGGAGCCTGGCTGCTCTCCTGGTCCAGTTGTTTTCTTTCTCTCTGATGGGTCCTGGGATTTGAACTCAGGCCTTGGAAACACTATCAGAGCTCATCTGTGGGCGTCTGGTGGGCTGAGCAGCTTTGGGCTGAGGCCATGGGGGTTGCCCATCTTCTCCAGCTGTGGATCGTCCAGCCCCAGTCCCCGGGGAAAGCGCCACAGTGCGCTCCCACTGTAATCCAGGCTGCTCAGGAGGCTGAGATCTGAGGGTCCGGGATCAAAGCTCGGGCAGGAACGTCCCTGAAACTCTTTTGTTTTTGTTTTTTGGTTGGTCGTGGGTCTTGAACTCTGGGCCTGGCGCTGTCCCTGCGCTCTTCAGCTCAAGGCTGGTACTCTACTGCTTGAGTCACAGCACCACTTCCAGTTTTCTGGTGGTTAATTGGAGATAAGAGGGGGAGGGGGCTGGAAAGGTGGCTCAGTGGTAGAGCGCTCGCCTCGCATGCATGAGGCCCTGGGTTCGATTCCTCAGCACCACATAAGCAGAAAAACCTGGAAGTGGCGCTGTCTGTGGCTCAAGTGAATAGAGCGCTGGCCTTGAGCTGAAGAGCTGAGGGACGGCGCCCAGGCCCAGAGTTAGGAAAATGGAGAACGGAAAAGGAACAGGCCGGACTTGATCATCAACAGGCGAGGACTGTGTATTGACCTTCCCGAGGTTCGGAGGTTGCCCAGGGAGCTGGGATCGGAGCTGGGTTCTTACAGGTCTGAGCAAGGAAGCAGAGGTTAGTGAAAAAGCCACTAGGTCAGGAAGGTGGGGGCCCTTCAGCTGGGCTCAGGTGGACTGCCCCGCCCCACTTCACAGGAGTTCCCACATCCCTGGGATTTTGCCTGGAGTCTGAACGGGCCTGGGACAACAGGGTGGGGGTCAGGCCCTCACTGAGCTGGGGCCCCATGACCCAAAAAAAAAAAAAAGAGCCTCATGGACTTTGTTGCCCAGGCTGGTTTTGAACCGCAGCCCTCAGATCTCAGCCTCCTGAGTAGCTAGGATGACAGGCGGGAGCTACCAGAAATATCTCCAATGAACCACCAAAACCCCTGACATGGAGCTGTGGCTCAGGTGGTAGAGTGCCAGCCCTTGAGTGCAAAATCTAAAGGGAAGTGCCCAGGCTCTTGAGTTCAAGCCCCAGTACTGGCAGCAACCCCCTCCACACACACACATTAAAAAAAAAAGTTGGCTAGGTAAAGAGCAGTGTGTGGGGGGTGGTGGAGGGAGAGATGGGGGGATGGAGGGCTGGCTGGCTGGATAGATGGATGATGGAGGGATGGGTGGGTGGATGGATGGAGGGATGGGTGGGTGGATGGATGGAGGGATGGATGGATGGATAGATGGAAGGAGGGAGGAATGGAGGGATGGGGGATGGATGGAGGGCTGGATGGAGGGATGGATGGATGGAAGGGTGGATGGGTAGATGGATGGGTGGATGGAGGGATGGATGGATGGAGGGAGGGATAGATGGATGGGTAGATGGATGGAGGGATGGATGGGTGGATGGATGGAGGGATGGATGGGTGGATGGATGGAGGGATGGAGAGACGGACAGGCAGGTCAGATGAGCCCTATAGGCTGTGGAAGCAAAGGCGGTGGCTGCGTTGGCTCCACTGGGCACTGTGGTCACCGCCCACCCTCTCCCGTCCCCCCCTCCTGAAAGCAGGGCGGAGTCTGTGGGGTCTGGGGTGGGGGCGGGGTGCTGAGCGCAGGGCAGGCCGCGGCAGGGCCTGGGTACCAGATGCGGCTCCAGGCCCCTCTGCTGAGTCACCGTGGCCATGGCGATGGGGCCCTGCGGATGCTGGGCCAGGCAGCCAGCCGCCCTCGGGGGCGGGGCGGGGCAGGGGAGGGGGTGCCGCTGCTCTCTCCTCGCCCAAATGCTGGTCCACAGCCAGCCATGGGTCTTCCAGGAGGGGTGGGGTGGGGTCTGGAGGCTGGGGGAAGAGTGGAGGACACACGTCTGGCCTGACATCCATCCGGACAGAGCCGGGCCACAATAAGGAGTCACGGGACACCCCCAAAGCTGAGCCTTCCCTGGGGAAACTGAGGCAGGGAGAGCACAGTCGTGGGCTGGCAAGGATTCAAACCGCTCCACACCCTGGTGCTGATCTGGACACTCCTGGGATTCTTCCTCCCCTCATCTCTCCAGGGCCCCACTCCTACAGACCTCCTGCTGCTCAAATCCCTCCCCCAGGGCCTTTGCACACGCTATCTCAGCCGAA